CAGGTATATGATAGGTACATATACAGTAAACTACTATATATAAATCTCTAACCTTGTATGTATAACAGAAGCGAATAAACCGAAGAATATAAATTGTATAACGCGACAGCTTCAGAGGCTAGTTATCACAGAGTAATATAAAAAGACTGATATAACTTTGTAGAGTACTAGCTACTTGGACACTTGTACTACTTAGGTACTAGTTGGCCTAGAAGAAAGTGCGGCAGAAAGCGAAAAGCGGAAAAGGGACCTGAAAATCCCACTATTTATCCTTGTCGAACAACCAACCTTGTTCTTTTCCCTATATCTCCAACTTCAAAAAGAAGCCTCCTGGTCCCAGCCAGTCCTTCATCAGTCCAATGATATGATACTACTCGAGAGCCACATGTATGGATTCTGATGCAGACCTGCTGCAGACTGCAGACTGCAGGACGGAATGGTTTACTAGTGAACGGCTAATATCTAAATCTTCGCCTCAAAGGAGAATAGTCTGCCTTTAATTCCTTTACAATTCGCTGTATCAGTAAGCCCAAAACAAACACCACGACTAGAATACGTAGGTACTTACGGAATGCAGGTTACTTCCACTTTTCTATCTGTTACTCAGAGAGATGGAGACGATTTGTATCGAACGAAGAGGAAAAACGAAAGAAAGGAAGAAGTTTACATACAACAAGCCATAAGGAATGGGAAGCAGAAAAAAAGCAACAAGAAAAGGAAAAAAGACGACAAAACCGTTCATTCTAGGATTTACTATCATATAAGAGAGAAAGCAAAAATGGCGATTGGACTCCACTTCCATCAACTTATTATTATAACTTAAATTCTCCAATTCCACATTAATCACCAACTCATTCGACTACCGATCGGATTATCATTAGACAAAAGAGGGAAGAGGGTCAACTATCATCTCAAGAGTCAAGGATAATTCATTCGGATGTGAAAATCTCACTTGTCTCTTGAGATCGATATTGCATCCACTGCTTTCCTTGCATACCTATTGATCCATTCATTCATATGTACTGTACCCATATTGCCATCCTCCTTGGATTGCTTCATTGACAATTGGAAATCGAGGGAGGCCCTGACTGCCCTACCTCATTGTTGGTTAATGTTGATTGCCTGCCTACCTGGTATACAATATCATCCTCGCATATCCTACTGGGGTCCCTCGTTACCTTGCACTTTCTTCTTCGTGGGGAAAAGGGTATTTACTCACGAGAATTCCATTCATTCACTGTCCACTGTATTGCAGATACAAGCCGTACGAGTCAGAAAAAAAGTCTAATATCTTGAACGGAATCTTGCCTTCGAGCTATAAAGCATCTCATATCTTATCAAGGCACCATGCTATCTCTAGATTCTCTATCTTAAAAGCTTTGAACCATCAAGCATCTTCCCACTACAAAAAGCTGGATATTCATATCTTGCATCTTTCTTCTGAATCCACATTCAAGACTCACTCTTACAACCATCATCCTTCTCAACTCCCCCAGAAAACTAAAGCTGTCGATCTCGGCCGCCTTTGATTTCCCGACGATTCTACTTCAAGAATGGTCCTTGTTTCGCAACTTTAACATATCCACACCACTTCAGAGACACTTTGACGTCGAAACAACCAGACCATATTTTCAACAGTTAGTCAAGTCTACCTGCCGAGAACCCTTATTTTTCACACCTTGTCCAGCCACTCGCATGACCCGACACAGCACAGGCTAGAGCTAGATCCAGGAACCTCAACCTTAGCCTCCTTACCACGTTCACAGTTTCCCTCTATTGCTCGTGCGCCCCACCATTCCGTGTTTGGGTGGATGATTAACAAGCTCCAGTCCATATCCCGCATCCAAAAAAAGTATGTATATGGACTCCTCCTGCTCACATTGATACTTCTTCAAACTCATCCAGTCTTCAATTCTCTGACTTCCTCAGATCTCCTTGAAAGTTTCGTGCTATTCTTGTACACAGTTCACGAGATCCATCGTATCTTTCCTTTTATAATACCTTCTTGCCAGGGCCTTCTCCAAGTCAGATCGCCAATTATCACCCTCGCTCAACGCTATTGCGCTGGACGCTCTGTATCTTATCAGATTCTCCCATTGGGTTCCTAATCGACATCACTTGCATATCAAGCAACCAAATCACAACACCCGCTTTTCTTGAATATCAAACTCTCAGTCCATTACCCGATCAGGCCTCCACAATATCGGACGCACAACCGAACAGCTTTCTCTCGAGACTTAATACTCCAGCTTCGACAGTTAGAATCTAGGGATACATAATGGACGTCATGGAGCTAGTCGAAAACGAGCAAAACGCACGCCCCTTTCAATGCGATTGGAAAACTTGCACCAAGGTACGACTTACCAATGCAATTCAAACAACATCAGCTGACAGTCAACGTAGAGCTTTAACAGAAAATCTGACCTTCAGCGTCACTATCGCATACATACAAATGAGAGACCTTACTCATGCGTAACTCCAGGATGCGGGAAAAGCTTCATTCAAAGAAGTGCCTTGACCGTACACATCCGTACACATACTGGTGAAAAGCCTCATCAATGTCAACACATTGGCTGTGGCAAACGATTTTCTGATGTAAGAGATGCAAAGAGAGGTTGATGAGACTATTACTAATGTTATTACATAGTCATCTAGTCTTGCCCGTCATAGACGTATTCACACAGGCAAGAGACCTTACAAATGCGCACACGATGGCTGCTTGAAGAGGTTTGTGCTACAGAGAAATTGTAGTTTGATCAGCACTAACATGCAATAGCTTTTGCAGAAAGACTACCATGGTCAAGCATCAAAGACGTTCGCATCAGCGTGGCATCCATTCATCAGAGCTTGATGACGGCGAGACATCTGATTCTGATAGCGGAGAATCGCCAACCACTCCTCAACATCACTCTAGTCAGATTCAGTGGCCTCAACACTTAACAGTCCCAGGTGTTCCACATGCACATCAGATGCATAGAGCGCACTCATTCGCGGATTTTGGACAACATCAACAGATTGATGGTTACCCCATGCCACAAGCGTATGCCCACAGACACAGCCTGTCGGGAGGTCCTCAGGCATACGGTCCTATTCCAGATCAGCACCATCACGTTATGCAAAGACAGCCTAGTCTTCAGCACGCTTCTTACTATGTTCCCGAGCAGAACAACCCAGGAGTCGCAACATTGAACACCAATCCTGCTCCAATCCAAACGTACCATATTCCTCGACATTCCATGGAGAGACACCCTCAGGAGATACTACAAAGCAGCCCCGGTAGTTACTCTTCTCACTCCCGCGCCAGCCCAGTCTCCCAAGAACCTTACTATACACACACTCAGCATTCGGTTCACGTTCCTACATACGCTATTCACGGCCAGTCGCCAACTGAACCACAGTCAATGATTCATTACCAGCAGCACGTACCAACACCTCAATCGATTCCATCACCAGTCGCACAAGTGCAGCATCAATTGCAACACCAATATCCACAACCTCCCGAGCATGGCCAGTGGTATGAGAGCACTCCTTACCAACAACCTGAAGTGATCAGCCACGTGCCAATGTATCCCCAGGTCACTGTCTTCAGCGATCCATGGCATAAGCTCGAGACATTTGATGATCCATCATTACAAATGCCCAGTGCTCGCATTGAGAATTTGTAACAACACTGTACAGTCAAATCACACGCTCGTTTCGAAACTCTCTTTAGCGATTGTATCATTATAAGACGTCGTATACCCAAGGACTGAGGCACACAGGACTGCAGTTTGTTCCGTTTCACCAACAAAAAAGTTTTCACTTCTCCGAGTCTATCCGCGATATACCTAGTACATTAACGACATTCACGAATGCATCCCATCCGTCAGCCAGACATTCCAGCCCTCCTTTTCGGAATAATTAGCTTGTCGCGGCATTTTCACATACTTTTTCTTTGTTTCATTACTTTTCTTGTTTTATAGTAGTTTCCGTCCGGTTTTGCGTACAGATGAAGCTGGATCTAATATTGGCCGGGAGGGGAGGAAGATGGAGAGAGGGTATATAATGAGGAGGTGATATTATGGCGCCACGAGTTCAACGAGGTCATTTCCTTTATGTTATATACTCGCGCATCTGGAAGCGTACCGTGCTTTTTAAGCCTAGAGGCTGGTGATCAAGGCCGGGTTTGCCATCTGTATCAATACTTATTTAAATGTTTATTGGGTTTGGACATAGGAATCGGATTGGATATGGTATTCAATTTGGAATGGAAAGCCTTATGTGTATTTATAGTAGTAGTGAATAGCTAAATGAATAGTATAATATCATCTACATCTGGACATCGTGACTCGGTTTACTTCTATCTTGCTGGTGATTAAAGACAAGGCTTGAATCGGGTGTATCCAAGACAAGGAACTCCACTAGCAACTATTTGAACCGGGCGAGAAATCTTTCAGGACTTTATTAGGTTCATGTAGGTTAATGTTCGGCGGGTTGTATGAGTCCTTGACTTCGAACTTCTTGTACTCTCACTTTCCTTGAACATTGTCCCTGATACATTTCCTGGAGCGAGGTCTAGATAGTAAGCGATAGGTATCCGTAACATATATTCTAGACCCCCCCCCTCTCCCCCTTAGTAAATTGTTACATACTACTAGGTAGGTAGTTTGAAGGTGCTATTTGGATAAACACGTGGTAGTAGTGGAACAAGATCTAGATTGGTGGGCAGCAGGTAGCGCTAATACAAAAGAAGCTTAGTGAATTAATAAGCGGCGGTATCAGCTTTCTTCCATGATGCACTACCGGAAGTGATTTACAAGTTTGCCTTCAGTGTTCCAGTTTGGCATCAACAATCAAGACGTCCTCGAGATCGAGGCTCAACAAAACTTCATTTCTTAGACTTCGCAGACGAAATATTGATACAGTCAACCAGTTTTGCAAGGAGAAATAGTTAAAAGGATTCACTTGGTGGTGGTTGATAGGAGGTGTTCATAATCTAATTCTATTTGGTTCTGCCAGTCATGGCAACACCAACTCATGGGTTTTCCACGATGGCTACATCTTTAAGGCTTCTGGTTCGGAAGGCACCGGAAACCCAATTTGCGAAGATGACACTTCCATCGGTGCGAATGGTTCGTAGGAATAAAAATCTTATCTCTTTCAAAAATGGCCTAACTAATGCTGTCGCAGCTTTCGACTAGATCGATTCCTGTACTACCTTCCAGCGCACGAATGGACCCAATGTCTCCAGGCCTTCGAAATGCATTTATCTCGGCTTCAAAACGTATCTCTACTGCGAATTCAACGATCCTATCTTCATCTATTCTTGCCATGGCTCATTGCCGTCAAATATCCACGTCTTCGTCTCCACGACCAGAGCAGTCCATGCCATTTACCAAACCCTTTGAATTCCAGCGAAGATCTCTCTTCGGTGGTAGCCCATCACACAATTTACTCTCTCACTTGGAAGAAACTGCAAACAAGAATCCTACTAGTGCCACGGCTCAGAACGCTCTCTACCAAGCGCTATTGAAGGCAAATATGCCAGCCATCATTGCCGACAGGTATCAAACTGGTCATTTCGCATCAAATTCTGCTTGTGAAGGTGCATATCATAGGGCTCTAGGTATGTTGGGACAAATGGACAGCGGCATGGCAAATCCTTCCGGACAAGCGGGAAATATCGGCAACGCGCAACTACAGGCTATTGGTCAAGCAGTCGCTGCTACTTCTCGAGGAGGTAATATTGCTATATCTCGCGGCCAAGCATCTGGTTCTGGCGACAAAAACTCTCCTATGCACGTTGTTGTTGATGAAACGATGGGAAACACTATTTTCAAATGGGTCAAATTCGCTCTCTACTTTGCACTTTTCACGTACATCAGTCTGGTCGTTGTTGCTATGATGATTGAAGGCTTCAATTCGATCGTTGCCAGAAGACCAGGAGGGGCGAAAACCGATAACGAGGCCAAGGCTGAACACCAAAACGTCAGGTTTACGGATGTACATGGTTGTGACGAAGCAAAGGATGAACTCCAAGAACTCGTAGATTTCTTGAAGAATCCGGAGAAGTTCTCCACGCTCGGTGGAAAACTTCCGAAGGGTGTTCTGCTCGTTGGCCCTCCTGGAACTGGTAAAACTTTATTGGCCCGTGCGGTTGCTGGCGAGGCCGGCGTTCCATTTTTCTTCATGTCTGGTAGTGAGTTCGACGAGATATATGTTGGCGTTGGTGCAAAGCGAGTTCGAGAACTTTTCACTGCTGCGAAAGGCAAATCACCAGCCATCATATTCATTGATGAACTGGATGCTATAGGAGGCAAACGAAATGCTCGGGATGCCGCGTACTCCAAGCAAACACTCAATCAGCTGCTTACTGAACTAGATGGATTTGCACAAAACAATGGCGTTATCATTTTGGCTGCTACTAATTTCCCCGAACTGCTAGATAAGGCTCTTACACGACCTGGAAGATTTGATCGAAATGTCGTCGTTGGGCTACCAGATGTGCGTGGTCGATTGGCGATCTTGAAGCATCACATGCAAAAGATCATTGCTTCTCCTGATGTCAACATTGAAACACTTGCTTCTGGTACCCCAGGCTTTTCTGGCGCGGAACTTGAGAACGTCATCAACCAAGCTGCTGTGCATGCCAGTAGAGCGAAAGCAAAAGCGGTATCTATGTTGGATTTCGAATGGGCAAAGGACAAAATAATGATGGGTGCAGAAAAAAGGAGCATGGTCATTTCTCAGAAGGAAAAGGAGATGACAGCCTATCATGAAGCAGGGCATGCCCTCGTTCTCATGTTTACCCCCGGAACAGATCCCTTGCACAAGGTTACGATTATGCCCCGAGGCAGTGCTCTTGGTATAACTTTCCATTTACCAGCAATGGATAAGTACTCAATGACTTTGGATGAGTATGAGAGCAGGCTTGACGTCTGCATGGGAGGTAAAGTGGCAGAAGAAATCAAATATGGCCCTACAAAGGTCACTAGTGGAGTTTCTAGCGTAGGTCTTCCCAACTAGTCACTAATATTAAAGGTTCTGAGGAAGCGGAAGAATACTAATTTTGTGAACAGGATCTCCAAACCGCCACAAGCCTCGCATATAATATGGTCACTAGATTTGGAATGTCACCCGAGCTCGGTAATGTAGACTTGATGACAAACTACGAGCATCTCTCCGCAGGAACCAAGCTGCTTGTCGAGTCTGAAGTTAGACGCGTCATTGAGGAGGCTCGTCTTCGTGCTGTCAAGCTCATCGAATCCAAGCGTAAAGAACTGGATCTCTTGGCAAAGGCTTTAGTGGACTACGAGACGTTAGATAGAGAAGAAGCCTTCAAAGTTGTTAAGGGAGAGAAATTGGTGGGCAGGGCAATTTCTCCTTCGGGAAGCATAAAAGTACCTGAAAGTATGGGTACTTCACTTGCACCAATTCCCGGAAGCCAAAGTCCCGAGGATAAGGGACCGAAGGGACCACCAGGTGGTGGTGCTCTTGCACATTAAAGGAATGATTCACTCAACTCATCGGGACGGCGTTTCGGTGGTGGTGGATACACATATTCATGTGTTGTAACGATTATTTGCACGATTAAGCATGGGAGGTGGTCTCATGGTCCGGAGGATCACAGCATTATTGCCTTGTTATTGGCAAAGAGAATGGGAATCATGTCTCTGCCTTACGATAGTGATCATTAGCGCTAGAAATTTCACCTTTTTTATATTTTGAGATGATTTGTATAACTATGTGGGCTTGGTAGCTCAAAGGGTGAACGGATGTTCCGAATACTATCTCTGAAGTATTTTCCCAGTCTGTAGTTTTGCATCCCCACGCATCCCCAGACCAAAATGCACACGAACAGAACACAATAGCACAGCAGCTAATTTGAAATTATGCCATTCCCTGGTCATTCCGCCTATAGTTATCGCTCGTCATTCGTATAAATAGTCATCCATGATATTCACATACAAATGTTCTCATTATAGCCGATCTATCTCACCAAATTTGTCATCATACTTTTTTCAGTCCTGGTCTAATACGTTTAAGACATAGACTAGATCAAAGATTGAAGGCTAGCTAGCTTAGATTAGCTTAGATTAAATTAGATTAGGTGACTACGAAAGCGCAGATGAATATATTTCTGCGTGGTTATAGTACTCAGGTAGCCAAGCAATGCAATGTTGGGATTGCGAAAGAATTGATTGGATTTGTAGAGAGAGATCTTTTAGATTTTCAATTGGGGTTTCTTATTAATTTTTGTTTTTGATCATTATCATACAAATTAAATTACTTCTTTGGATCACAACAATATTGCCTACCTACTCATAAGTTGGTGGGTAGACTTTTCTTCTTCGGAAGCTAGATAATAATCATTGTTATATGTGGATTTCTATATAGTCGTCTTCAAGTATTCTCATCTCATCGCCTAGAATCTATGATGATGTTATAGATTCTACTTTTTGTATTCGTATCTGTTCTGGTCTTGGTGTGACTGAGTATCCAGCTTTGTTCTCCTGTTGATTTCGTCCCAGTGTGCTTGGGCTCTCTCTCTCTCTCTCCACTTTGCAAGAACCAAATTGAGAGATGGAAGTATATACAAAATTCAGGTGGTTTAATATGAGAGATGTTGCGACGTTGAGGATTATTCTCAATCTGTTACGACGTGAATGCTTGTCACATATTAAACGAATTATTGACGCCCTCAGACTATATTACCGTCGCCAATCAAATATTGCTTTCCTGGAAGAACAATCGAGCTCTACAATTCAACATACACGCATTCTTATACCGGTAAAATTGATATGAATTCTGTACTAAAGGGAAAAATAATAAACAAACCCTCTTCCCCAGCAGGATCCTGGAAACCACCCCGAATCCTTCAGTTCTTCGGCTATTCCGAGATACTAGCAAAACTTTGCAAGTTCCGTTTACTAAGATACTTTGCGTGAAGATGAACAAATGCATGTGAGTTCGAGAAATAAACGATAGCTAATATCGCTCAACAAAAACTATCCTCTGGGAAGATTAATGCGGTAAATGTAGAAATATGAAATTAGGCGAGCTGCAAATGATAAACTGTTGATGGTGGATCAGCCATCTCTCCACGGAAGAGTTGCTGAATTTTTGATAGATAATCCAAAGACTTTCCTGCATGTATTAAACATCATATGATAAGATAGAGAGGAGAACGAGCAATGAAAGCAGGAAGAAGATAGCGCCTACCTGCATGAGAATGTCGAAGAAAAAGAACGATCTACCTTTCCTCGAGAAATATTGGGCACTGCCATCCTGCAGCATCTAGTAAGGAAGATCTCTCCAAGGATGTAGGGTAAGCGATCAGGATGTTTTTCATGAAGGAGAACCTTCGGAGTCAAATCGAGGTTGAGAGCGCCAGTCACCCACTGCTCCTTCAAATAGCCCACGCTAATTGTTGACTAATCTTTCGCCTGAATCCATCACCCTGCACCATCCCTTCTCGATAGCTTTCTCCTCGTCATGAAAAATCTGCTCAAACTTATCTTTCAATTCAGCCAGTTCTTTTCTCACACAATTTTGCAAAGAAAGTCTCGATAGCTGGTATACCTTATCTTCCTTAAACCAACCCTCCTGATCATTCACTGTCGCAAGTACTCCGCCATGAGTATCTACCTCTAGAGTAAGTCTCCTCCCATCACCTTTCTTCAGAACAATCCTTAATTTCTTGCAGCTCAGCTTCATGATAGCATTCATTACCTCCCCATCCTCCCATAGAAAATCCGCAAAAGTTATAGGAGCATGTTCAAATCCCAAAGCTGTCGAAGTGATGCCAACCTGCCGCGGTGTCAACACGATGGTGAAAGTTTTCAGTACTGGCTTCGCCATTACCAAGGTTTCAATGCTTTCAACTGCCTTGTAAAACCAGTGCATATTCCAGTTATCTTTCGGACATTCGAGAACAACATTTTTTACCAAATTTAGATATGTGGCTTTAATCCTTGGGATGCTCCAAGAAGGTAGTCGTGACAAGTTCTCTCGGAGCAGTGCATGGAAGGTATTGTTTTTACAGAGAAATGAGAGAGCCTCTGCACTGATCTGTTTGCATATGAACAATATCTTTTTGACTACAAAATCGGGACAACGTTCGACAGCTTCCCAATCATAATTGACGAGGATCGAGTTTGGGGAACGAAGAAAATACCCATAGATTCGCTCACGGACTTCCAAAGGATAGCGCAGGAATGGAGAGCGAGTTGGACTATTCATTTCCACTGGTTCGGGTGTAGTTTCACGACTGCACAGTTCTGGGTAGCGGTTGAAGAGACCTGCACCGCGTGCTGCATGATTACGGCCGAGTCCTGGTCGTTGCTTGGAAGTGGCAAATTTACGCTTGCGCTTGGGGGCTACAATCATCGCCGAGGAGGGGATACCCCAAGTATTACACGAATGAGAATTAGCGTCGAAACTGGGTGTGAACTGGCTCAGATCATCATTCTCATCGTCAATTTGGAGTGATGCCATGGTGATTCGGGCACAGCGACGTTTGCGCGATGCTTTAGAAGTCGTACTACCGATGATTTTACCATTCTCATCACGATCTTTGGGAGCTGGCCTTTTGCGTGAATTCGAGACCTTTTGCTTGGGTCCCTCACCTGAGGGGTTTGGCATGTTTGACAGTGGAATTCTGATAGTCGCTCGGTTCGTTAAGTTGCCCAATTGTAGCGGAAGTATAGAATTTAATTGGACGATAATTTAAAGAAGACACTGGGGTAACTTTTTGAGTGAATGATCTCGATGACTAGTGTTAAAAAAGTCACAGGATTGAACTGTGAGAAGTGAATCGCTCTCACAATTCGAATGTCAGTAAGGTGTCAAAAATAGACAGGTCGAAACGACTGCCTGAAACTGCCGACAATATCAAAAGGAGTAGATCAAAAGCAATGGTAGCCATAGACTGGCTTTGTTAAAAGCTGGAGTAGAATCTATCTGTCAGGCCTGTAAAGGATGAAAGGAGGATGATTCTGCCGACTCCAGGAAATGGAAAGACTTTGTAGAAGATGAACTCGAGACGCTTGGAGTAATAGTGAAAGTGAAAATTGGACCAGCCCATTGAGTGTGTTTATTTAGAAATAGGCCAAGGAGGAAAACGAACAAGATGGTTGCAAATATTTCTGGTAATTCCGCAAATAATCGGACTGAAAAAGAAAGAACCATGGCTTACTAGTAAAGTAGGTAGGGACGGTGGTTACCTGATATTGTATCGTCTTATGGGGAAGGCGCGATGAAACCATCACATTTCCATTTCATCTAATCAACGAAGTGGTATGGCCCTACCATTCAGGTAAGGACTACGAAGTAATCAAGACATAGAAGAATCACAGTATCTCTGATTTCATGTCCCAGACTTATTCCAGATGTAGATTCCCGTATATAAACACGCTTTTATTGATGGACGAGAAGTATAAAGGGGCAAATTCAGATTGTGGTTACCGATATAGACGAGATAGCATAGTGAATATATGTACTTTTGAACATGTGCTAGAGAGCTATGCAATGATCATCTTGATCTCATGTAGCAATTTAAGTGTACACCATAATCAACTATCTACGAGTGCTAATGAAATATTGACCAATTCATAGAAAAACGAACGAATATATATACAAATGTAGATGTTCATGTCTAACTCTCTAGATGAAACATAGATGACGCTCCGCTTGACCACTGCCGTGGAGGCTTCTTCGCTTCGCTCTGGAACATATAGTAGCTGAGCAATACGGTCCTCTACTAGATGTTTGAAGGAGGTTCTTGAAACGATATTGGAATATAGGAGACATATACAGTTATATATTTCGCGTACAACAGGTGGGTAGATATGACAAATAGATAGGTCGATAGATATCAGGGCTTGTTTTCATTGAATGTCAGATTTGTATACAAAGCACTTTTCTATACCAAAACTTATTTATTTTCAAAATTCAATATTAAATTAATTAATAGTATTATATACATAAAATTCTGTATATTGATAGATTTTAATATAAATTTTTATAACTATAACTTTATATTTCTTCTAAATTCTTCTAATCAAACTAAAATCTCTATTGAATATTTAACACTTATTAAATTATAATTATTTTTGAAGTAAAAATCCTTTCTCTAATATATTAGTAAACATATTTCAAATTTTAATTTCTTTTATATAAAAAGAATCATTAATCAAAATTTTATGTTTTCTTTAGATTTAAATTTTTTATAATGAATAACGTGGTTTAACACCGAGTGCACCATATCACCGAATGCACCACTTTTACCTCAATTTGCGCTTTCTAATTTATATTATTCAATAATAATTAAATCAATTAATTGAAATTATTAAAAATCTAATAATCTAGGATCTATTATATTATTTTAACAAATTCTTGAATTATAACCTAGTTTTTTATATTTATTATAGTATTAATTAAAAAATACTTTTTTATTAGAATTTCCCTTATTTTAATATTTATTGTATTGAATCTGAATATTAATCTTTTATTAAAATAATACATTAAAAGTTTTTTGTTTAATAAATATTTCTTTTTAATGTAATTAAGTTTTTTTTGTACATCAATATTTAGTTAATATCTCATTTGTTTTTCAAAGTATACAAATTTCTATATTCAAAAGTATATTCTTATAAACTAATCTTTTTGTATTTTTAACTAAAACTAATATAATCTCGAATATAGGTATAAAAGAACTTGATTAATAATAAATTATTCGAGATTTAACTAATATTAATTGAAAAAGAATTTTTATAGGATTCTGAGATATTTGAAAAATCCAGAAATCTAAATCAAAAAAAGAGAAAATAAATATATGAATTCAAATATTCAATTTAAAAAATACAATTTTAGGATTAAATAAAACTAATCCTATTCTTTAGAATTCAGTTCTTATATTCTAATTTGTAATTGATTGTTGATATATAGTTTTAAAATTATAAAGAATTTGATTTTTAAGATATAATAAATATATACTTTTATAAACCCCTTAATTTGAATATTATATTCTTGTTTTAAGATATTAAAATATTTAATATCAAAAGATTAAATTAAATAACTTAAATGTGATGGTAAATACATATATTTAATATTATTCTTCTTGTAATAATTCTGGAATGGTATTAATTTGTAATTTTTATACCTATTTAGTACTAATATTCTATATTTGCTTTTAATTCGATTTCTTATATATTTATTGAAGTATTTCAATTATTTTAATTTTATTTTATTATTTGTTTATTTATTAAATATAAATTTAATAACTCAATCCATAGGAAAATCAATTTCGATATATTAATTAGAAAAATATATTTATTCTTAAATTATCAGAAATAGAGGTATAATATTCCTTTTATTATTGTTATATATAATTATTATTGCTTATTCTCGATTGCCTGGTTATATTGCTTTTCTTTTGTTATTTCGTTTAGTATTAGTTACAATTATTTTAGGATATATTATGCCCATTATAAAACTAATTTTATCGAAATTATAGAAATTGTAATTGAAAATATTATATTTTGTCTACATATTTGAAATTATATGAAACCAGTTTTCAATAAACTTAGAATTTTTGCAAAGAGCTTTTTAAAAGTTATAAATATGATTAAAATGTGTCTTTAATCTTATATAATGCTTTACAAATCAATAAGCCCAGAACTTTCTAATCTTCTTTGCTCTTTACAATTGAAAAATATAATTCGCTATATTTTTTATATTATTTAATTTAAATAAAAATCCTTTATTATTTATATTAATTATATATTAAATAAATATCTTTTTTTTTAAATCAGTTATTTTATAACTATTTACTCGAATTTTTATATAAGGGGGTAAACTATTTATTTTATAAAGAAATGTTATATACATTATATTATATAATTTAATAGTTTTTCAAATACTGAGTTTTTTATTTTTTTGAATAGTTTTAATAGTTAAAAGTATTTGAGCTTCTTTTTTATTTGATTGTATAATAAATGATTAATAAATTGTGTATTAAAGTTGAAGAATGCAAATTGAGGTAAAAGTGGTGCATTCGGTGATATAGTGCACTCGGTGTTAAACCACGTTATTCTAATTATTATATATTTATAAGATTATAAAATAAAGTATTGTTTTGGTATAGAAATTCGCTTAAATTTCAGCCCGGCATTTAATAAAAACACACCATGATAGATAGATAGATAGATATTGATGAGTAATTGCTCAAATACTATGGGTCAAGGGAGCAAATGACTTAAATTGATATGCACAGCCACCAATTCCAGCTTTTCAGGGGAAATCATCTTATAATGGTCGAAGTTTGGATCTTATTGAATCCTATTGGTTGACAACGTTTTAGTACTGGTAATCTGTCGATAGTACAGTTTCTCGATGCTTGGATTCCGCAATGACACGAGCGACCCTTAAGTGAACCCATGTCTCCTTTGTCCCCTCCCCAGATCAGTTTCTCTCTTTTCTAGAATAATAAATTACCTCCCTGGCTTGGCTCATGGGTAGAAGAGTAACCTTGGCCTTAGATTTCAATCGATCCAGAAGTAGGTCCCGTTCAATAATGGACCTTTCGCTGACTGGCCCCCAACTTGGATCTTCATCTGCATCTTCATCTTCTCCTTCGTACTTTGCTGTACTATAGTATTATATTATATGTAGGTAAGTCTTACAATTGATTTGTCTCTTCCCTTGTTATTGTTGTACAAGTGAATCATTGTCGCGCCGCATTGCATCTTGATCTTGATCTTGATCTTGAATCAGTTCAAATAAAACATCATTACCTATTCAACACATATTTCCTCCGGGACCTGATTGTGTTTGTGTGTGGGACCTGATTTTCATGCAATGACAGGCACTACAAAGAAGTCCTCCGGTGAACCCGTCAAAACAAAGCAACATTCGCGATCAAGCTCGAGTACAACTACAAAATCACTTCTTATAATTACACCCTCGAGTTCTGAAAGCACTCAAAGTCCCTCGACCTCACCCACTTTTCATATACCTGCGCGCGACAGCACCTACACCGAGAACGACCGAGTTGCTACAATCAGCGAGAATATGGAGAAAGCGACTATCAATGGTTTGAGCAATGGCTCGAGTACTGCAAAAAGGAAGACTCCTTTGACTAGGAAACAGTCTTCTCCTATGATGCCACCGTTTATGGTATCGGCTCCAGGAAAGGTCATTGTGTTTGGAGAGCACGCCGTCGTGCACGGAAAGGTGGGTGCCATTGCTCTAGCTATGCGATCTGAAAACTAACATTAGAGATAGCCTGCGATTGCTGCTGCAATTTCACTTCGATCATATCTCCTAGTTACATCCCTCTCAAAATCGAAGCGCACAATTTCCCTCCGTTTTCCCGACATCAATCTCTCACACACATGGAATATCGATGACCTGCCGTGGGATACCTTTTCGCATCCGTCGAAGAAGAAGCACTATTATGATGAGGTCACATCTTTAGATCCAGAATTGGTTGCAGCGATGAAGCCACATCTAGAGAACATTTCCCCTGAGGAATCACCCGCCATACGAAAGATACACCAGAGCTCTGCCTCGTCATTTTTATACATATTCTTATCACTCGGTTCACAATCATTTCCGGGCTGTTTATATACACTTCGCTCAACAATTCCAATTGGTGCAGGTCTTGGTAGTAGTGCCTCGATATCTGTCTGTCTTTCGTCCGCACTTTTGTTGCAGATTCGCACATTATCTGGACCACATCCGGATCAACCATCCAATGAGGCAAGCTTACAACTTGAGAGAATCAACCGTTGGGCATTTGTGGGAGAAATGTGCATACATGGAAATCCATCTGGGGTCGATAATACAGTTTCAACGCAAGGAAAGGCTGTCATCTATCAAAAATTTCCCGATGGACCTACTGTAAAGCCGTTAAGGAATTTCCCAGAACTCCCTCTACTGCTTGTAGACACACAGCAAGCAAAATCTACAGCTCATGAGGTTGCTAAAGTGGGGTTGTTGAAGCAGAAGCACCCAGCTATCGTAGATTCGATATTGAATGCTATTGATATGGTCGGTCAATCAGCTGCGGCTATGATTTCAGATCCAGAATATGATAGCGAGAATCTCGAGTGCGTTGAGAGCCTGGGAAAATTGATGACAGTTAACCATGGACTTCTAGTTTCTTTGGGAGTATCTCACCCTCGCCTGGAACGCATCCGGGAACTTGTCGACCATGAAGGAATTGGCTGGACTAAGCTTACCGGTGCTGGAGGGGGAGGGTGCTCTATTACACTGCTAAAGCCGGATACTACACATGAGAGAATGGCACGCTTGGAGGAAACATTGAAGACTGAAGGTTACAAAAAATTTGAGACTACATTAGGTTGTGATGGAGTGGGTGTTTTGTGGCCCGCAGTGATCAAGAATGGAGAAGATGATGATTTTGGGGGGGATGAAATCGACCAAGAGAAATTTCTCAACGCTGAAGGTATAGAAGGAGTTGAGGAATTGGTTGGAGTTCATGGACAAAGTGGTGATAGGGAAGCATGGAAGTTTTGGAGGGTTGAAGATTAGAATGCCGGCAACAGCACGATTACTTCTTTTCGCTGTAAATTATGTTAACATGTTATTCTATAATGCGACGGACCGGTAGACAATAATGAAAAGAAAACACATATAATGATCAAAAGAATCAAAACATTGTTCCTCACATTGTTTAACGTTTCTTTCTTCAGCCTCACACCTTTCCCGCACAAGGCTGACGCTAGCCGAGCTCATCTTTTGGAAGCCTTTCAGATGGGCAATTGAGTCTTCGTTTTCGACCTCGTAACAAAGAGCATATTGTGAGAGCAAGGATTACTTGACCCAATTCTAGCCTCTAGCATTTCAAGTTTTTAGGTTCCGGGTCTGCACAGGTATTTAACTCACATTGGCCTTTTCAGGCCTCTCTTAATTTGACCCCCCAGTTCACACCTTTCACCGTGACCCTCACGAAAGCAGAGCTCTCGAAGACTCATAGGATACTCGTGTAATGAAATACGGAGGTATTTGAATTGCATTTGGTCAACGGCTTTGCAAAATTAAGTATTGCGAAGTTTGCGCAAGCGGGTTTTCAAAGTAGGAAGCACATTAGCACAAGTGCTTGAGGAAGAGAGATATTTCATTCGGATAGCCGTAAGACCACGACAGAATAACGACATACGACCGAGGGTATTGGCAATCGATTCGTGATACCAAAGCGGCAGAATGGGAATATACGAGAAGGATCCTATCTGGGCTGATGTGGTACCAATAGCACAAGATGATGGCGAGGGCGCTTTAGCACAAATTGCATACACGGATGAATACGCAGAGGGTAAGATTGCCATCCTTCATTCTTTCTACAAGACTCATGATCTGTCTAGCAATGGGATACCTTCGCGCTGTAATGGCAAGCAAAGAATACTCACCTCGCGTTCTCGAACTTACTGAACACATCATTACCCTTAACGCAGCTCATTATACAGTCTGGCTCTACCGCGCCACAACTCTCTTTGCACTGTCTTCCTCTGTCGCCGACGAACTCGCATTTGTAAACCAAATTGCGCTGGAAAATCAGAAAAATTATCAAATTTGGCACCATCGACAACTTCTCATCGATCACCTCTACCCCTCAATTTCATCCTCTCCTTCGTCGCTCAACGTGCTTGCAGATTCGGAGCGAGATTTCTTAACACAAATGTTTGACGAAGATGCAAAAAATTATCATGTTTGGAGTTATAGACAATATTTGGTATTGAAACTGGATATGTTTAACGAGGTGGAACTAAAGAGTGTAGAGGATCTAATAAAGAGAGATGTACGCAATAATAGTGCTTGGTCATATCGATTTTTCCTAGTTTTCTCGGACCCCAAATACTCGACCAAGGGATTGAAAGCGAATGAGTTTGATGGCAAGATCCCAAAGGAGATAGTGGATAGAGAAATTGAATATGCGAAATCGGCGACATATGAAGCACCGCAGAATCAGAGTTCTTGGAACTATTTGAGGGGGGTTTTGAGAAAAGGGGGTGTGAAGAGTGAGAGCTTGGAGGAGTTTGCGGGGGATTTTGTTAAGCTTGGAGATGCAGACGGAAAGCGGGAAGATATAAGGAGTAGTCATGCATTGGACTTTCTGGCGGATGTCTGGGCAGAGAAGGGAGAATGGGAGAAGGCCGACAAAGCGCTCGAATTACTGGGTGATAAGTATGATAAGATTCGAAAGAATTATTGGGATTGGAGGAGAAATTCATTCAAGGAGATGAAGGGATAGACTGAGTATAGGACGAGACAAATGACTGGTTATGGAACGGCGTTGGGGCGGAGAGCGTGAGCGTATGTCTGCCTCGTTTTCGCTTGTGTTGTTGTTTGAGATGAGCATATACCAAGTTGCTCCCTTCTGTTGAATGAAGCTTGCATGAACGTACAATTGTCTTGTGGTGAATACATCACCTTCTGATGATCATTCCGAAATTCCATCACACGACGTGAGCGATTCATTCACCGTGCCACATGCCAATAGTGACATTTCTGTGACCCCTCCAAACAAAATCATCGTGTTCCTTTCCACATTCCTGACTCGTCCGTAACATCACCGCAGGCGATAAAAAGATAAAGTCAAATTTCCAAACCCATGGATAGTCGGTTCCACTACCTAGAAAACCTCACTCCCAATCACCCAAACATGTCAAAACCCTTCGTTCGTCACATACATCATCAATATAAAATATCAGATCACCAAACCAAAAGGGACAATAGCTCGAAAATAGCTCACCCCGCATTTGCGACACCTGCGCTCTGCATAAAACCATTACCCTATAAGTATCTCCACATTACCCTATAACTTTAAGTCGCATACCGTCCCGAGCTTCCCTTATCATTCCAATTACCCTATAACTTCGTGCGCGTATCATGATTACCCTATAGCTTCCCCTGGATTACCCTATAAGTATCCACGTGTATCTTTCTGAGCAAAGGCCATTACCCTATAACTTGTCTTAGCGAGATAGCGCATCCCCGCTTATCGTCGGATTCCCCTTTCGTCGGCTGGATCGTCTGCAGTGCCGAATCGAAGGCATGCGTAAGGAGCCAGAGGGATCCTGGGTTGTTTCAGTAAGGAGGAGGGAGGGTGTTATCAAGTGCTGGGGTTATCATGCATGCATGCACACACGCACGCCTTTGGCTCGACATGTATGTTGTTGCTGGAAGCGAAAGTTCCCGATATTGATACGAAACTTCCTACATAGGAAATCTGTTCCATCTTTTGCGATCTCCGTGCTTCTGCGGATGCTTCGAGATGGATGGGTTGAGTAGATTTGCGTGGAAATGGATTGGTTTGCGTTGGATGCGAGAGGAATGAGCTAGCATGGATATGATTTCTTGATGTGAGTACTTAGGGTTGGCGATGCACACTCCCTTCAAACAAACATTTGGTTGGAACATTTGAGATTTGAGATTTGAGGTGATAAGATAGTTCTTCTACCAACATATTCGTTCAAAAAGAGATTCCAAATACAATTCGAATACGGAAATAAATATCATACTATACAAAATGGGTTCAACAACTCCAATCACAAATGGAATGGGAGAGGGACATATATCGAAACCTTGGATTAAGACACCATTGGTTAGATCGGCTGCCTTGTCAAGACATGCTGGATGGTGAGTTTCCAGAATGTTTTCGGCTTTTGTTGGAAGCGTAAACTGATACGGAGATAGTAATGTGTGGCTTAAACTTGAGAATTTACGTATGTATACATACTTTCGTTTCCCTTGTCGAATGTTGCGCAGCTCATCTTTCGCCTTTGCGACATGTTCCGATCCTTTTCTTTCTCCTTTGTTACCATGTTTCTCCTTTCACAGTTCACCATTTCTGTGCTATTCCATCACATCTCAATCTTATCTATCAAAATAACTAACACAGTCCAGAACCATCTGGCTCCTTCAAATCCCGCGGCATAGGGAATCTTCTCATGCGTTCCCTCCCCCCCAATCCCCACAGCCCCGTCCACTTCTACTGTTCCTCAGGCGGCAATGCCGGTCTCGCCTGCGCCCACGCAGCATTCTCTCTCAACCGTCCCTGTACCATCGTCGTTCCCATAACCACATCCTCACACATGATCTCCAAGATAAAACTACTCAAAGCCGAAGTTATCCAGACCGGAAACCACTGGAGCGAAGCCGATAGATATCTACGCGAAGAACTACTAGCCAACGATGCTAATGGTGTATACGTGCCACCGTTTGACCACCCCGATATCTGGGATGGACACAGTACTGTGATTACTGAGATTGAAGAGGAGGTTCGGGGACTAGGCATCCACAGTTTGGACGCGGTGATCTGCAGCATTGGGGGAGGAGGATTATTTAATGGCATCATGAAAGGATTGGAGGATAGAGGAAGATTGGAATCTCCTAGTGAAACGAAAGTTATAGGTGTGGAGACGACGGGAACGGCGAGTTTCCACGCGGCGATGAAGAGGGAAGAATTGGTCAGGTTAGACGGTATCGATAGTATTGCTACGTCGCTGGGTGCGACGCAAGTAGCGGCGAAGTCTCTGGAGTGGGGACTAAAGTATAGAAAGAACGTGAGGAGTGTAGTTTTGGGAGATGCGGAGAGTGTGAGTGGTATGGTGTGGATGGCGGATGAGGAAAGAATTGTGAGTTTTATTAATTCATGGGTTTCTGAGTTCCTTTTACTGATTGTGACGCAGTTGGTTGAGAGTGCGTGTGGTGTCAGTGTAGCAGTGGCTATCAATGGCGTACTGAAAAAAATATTGGAGGAAGATGGAGAGACCATGGAGGGAAAGAATGTGGTGATTGTGGTTTGTGGAGGAAGTAATATTTCACTGAAGATTTTGGGGGAATATAGAGAGAGATTTGGTGTATGAAAGCTTGGGGAACACTTTCATTATAGATCGAGGAGCGGAGTCATAATGCAGCGTTTGGTTTAGAGGGATCTTTGCTACTCTATCATGGGTAGCGAATTTTTGCATTTCCAGTATTATTTGACGCTCTGAAAATAGGGAGTGTCTTAATTTCTCATGGTATAAGTGACATATTTCTTGTGATAGAGCAAGTAACATGACTTGCAACAAAACATTCTTAGAATTGTTGGACTGTCTAATTTCAATCTTTCAAGCTTCTTTGACCCTTGGTATCGATAGATTAAGTGATTATTTGTTACAGTACTAGTCAACTACCATCAGCCGAAATTCATTTTCATATCAAAAATCGACATTTTGCTATTTTTCAAATTCAAAAATCTTTATAAATAATAATTTAAATTTATTGAAATTCTGTTTTTATAAAATTTATATAATAAAAATTGATATTTTTAATATTTCAAAAATCTAAAAGATTTCTAACATCAAAATTTATAAGATTGAATTAAAATATTAAAAAAGTTATTTGATTTTCATTTATTTTATTAATAAATTTAATCATTTCAAAAATACTTGAACTTTCTATTTATATAACTTTATCAATAAAAATCTTAAAAATAATTCGTTTTATTTTTATTATATCTTTATAAAAAATAAATTAATCGATATAAAGAAATTTTTATATTATACTATAAATTATAAAAAAAGCTGTAATTTTAAATGATGAGTTTTGGTGTTAAAGGCGGTTTAGCTGATAGTAGTTGGCACTAACTGTATACTCCTTTACTAGTGACTCGATGACCGAGAATCATGCAAGCTATTTATAGCTATTTCCTTGTAATGAGTTTTGTGGCTAAATAAAAATAAAAACATGTGTTATAGCTCAAAGCATATCCCTAGACTTGGTCTTAATCATCCATCTCTAATTCATGTCAAGAATTTTCCACCATGGTGTATACCGTACTATACTGAATATTCCTTCTTTCTAGCTATGCATCATTCGCTATCGGACAATTTATCGTACTAGCCCCATTCAATTTTTCTATACTCACCAAAACATCAGTAGGAACACCACTAATAAGATCTACTGTTCTACGCTTTGTTCTCCCGCCAAATAAGCAGGTCCAAATATCGTTTTCCGAAATGGCTTCACCATCATGCCCCTTAAAAAGAAGATTCCTGGGCGCTGATTGCTGCATCTCTAGACTATTGGCCTCTTCCAGAGCCTGTGCTACTAATTCCTCATCAGTAACCGCTCTCCCTTTGCCCTTTTTTGATATGGTTGCATGGCCTAAGTGCTCCAATCTTCTCTTGACAGATAGCTCGTAGATTGACTGATCAACAGTGTTACCCATGACCATTACCCAAATATTGGTCTCAAACTTTTGTCCTATTCTATGAACTCTAGACTCTCCTTGGAGTGCGATTGCCGTGTTTAATAACGGTTCGCAAAAGAATATATTATTGGCATTGACTAAAGTCAATCCAGCGCTATGTGCTCGAGAATGTAAGAGGAAAACTTCTATGCCAGGATCGTTTTTGAATTTTTCAACCCCATTGGGTCTATCAATAGATGAATGACCAATGCGAAATGCATCAAATGCGCTAGCCAAAACCGGTAGGAATTCGGTAAACTGAGAAAAGACGATTGACTTCGAGCCAGGGTCTGATTCTCTAAGGTAAAGAATGTGTCGGGCTTTTGGAAGATTGTTAGTGGCATTCGTTCAGTGAGATCAAAATTCACATACCAAGAGTATCGATTTTGGTGCCAAATGAGTTGTTATCTTGTAAATTAATGCTTTTGATGGCGGAGAGAGTAGCTTTGCTGACTTCTGAATAGATCGCAGATTTTTGAGGGGAATTCGAGTTGACTGATCGTTCCTTCAACGGTTCTCGAATGCCATCAGTTTCTGCGGTCAGTGTTGGCTCATGTGGCTTGTAGCTAATATGGTGAAGCTCTTCATAAATTAGCATCTCTTTACAGATGGGGCATCTATGAGATACTTCAATAGGTCAGTAATATGTATGCGGCACTTGGAGATTATTGCGTTCTTACATTTCCACCATTCTTTGGCGCAATCAGAACAGTATTGATGACCGCAGACGGTCAAAACTCCAAGCTCAAATCCCTCTCTGCAAACGACACACGTTCGCTTATCTTTGGGATTTTCGACCTCCTCTTTCAAATGAACCAGATACCTTCTCTTGGCTCTCAGCGAAGCTATAGTTTGAGTGAGTGCATGCTCCTTTCGTAGAAAAGATTGGTTGACACCATCATTATTGGGGCCTGTATATGGGGCCACCTGATTTGAAATTGCTTGTAGTTGTTTGTAGTACTCAACTCGAAGATTCATGCATTTTGTGAACAGCCCGATCTCCTTCTCTAGATTTGCGGCCGCTTTTGTTTGATCTATGAGATAGTTGTGAGCCAATTTCAGTTGAGCTTCAACGATCGAAAGTTCATTTTGGGAATTATTTGTCTTGAGCTTAGATATAAGCGCCCGGAGCTCAGATAAAATCCCCCTCACACTAATGCCCTTGTGCAGAAATAGGTCCCTTATGTTAACGAGCTCAAGTAGCTTTTCTGGGAAAGGACCTTTGCCATGTTTTGCCTCCCGGAAAGCCGTTTTAGCTTCTTCGTTGATTAGAAAATTTTGGACGCCGGACAACGATGCCTGTCTATCGGCAATCATTGTCCGCAATGCTTGAACATATACCACGACTTCTTCCTGTACTTTTATAGAATTTTCATACTCGTCCCCACTGATGGCAATGCCTTCATCATCGTTGTCGACTAATGGACTCAACAAGATCTGGATGAGGTGGTTTCGCCATTCGTTAATTTGTTGTGCTTGTCTATCCAAATTAGTTCCAAGATTTTCGAATCTAGCCATTGATAGTTAGTTAATATGTAGGTATGAGGCGTAAAGATATGAGAAAGTGTATCCGAGAAGATAAATTGAATAGAGATACAAAAATCCACAACTTACCCTTCCATAATCTGGCGACTTTCGGGACCCCCTCTGAGAGTACTAGGCACAAACTGAGGCAACTGGACAGCTGTACTAGATTCTGTATCTTTCCTAATTGCGGTCATCATGTTATCTGTTCTCTTGAAGGCCTATGATGTGTTAGCCCAGATATCTTCACGCTGTAGGACAACAAGCATTTAATCTGAATTGTGCAATCCATTCTTCGCGATAGATTCAAGGAATCAAAAGTGTGAAATAGTTAGAGCTATATTTCATAGCAGTGAAAGTGTGTACTAGTGCAATACAGAACGTACATCTTGTAGTATCTCGCGTCGTAACTCCTTAGCCTCTTCGTAACCCTTCCTCTCAAGCGTATCGAGGTTCTCAAACTCGGCGGAATCAACTACTGTCATTTCCTCGTTTGATTTTATTTGATAGTAAGCATTCGATAGGAAGAATAAACCCATGTGATGAAGCTCCAAGGCGGCTCTCAGCCGTGCTCGACTCATCACTACGCTTGAAGCAGGATCTGATCTGTATGAGGGCGTGTTAGAGCGTGTCAAGGGCGATGAAAGAGATTCGCACCCATCTTGTCCCTCAAGATATCTCTCACCATTTCCTTCAATGCTCTGAACTTTGTTCGGAGTAGTGGTCTTTTGAGTTTCTGCTATTATCGCATCTGAACTACTGTCTGAATGAAATGCCAGTCTTGCCTTCTCCGACAATATCTCAGCGGATAGTTCATCCCGAGCTTGATCTACAAACGTGGAAGAGAGCGTGACGCATTCTTTCCAGATAGCCAGAGCTTCCTGAACACGAGGGGAGTCTTCGTATAATTGGCCCCTCTTTAATTGGGAAAGAAGAAGTGATCGTGAATTTGCTCGAATAGCAGCATCTGTTTGGGAAAACATAAGTTCAAGGGCCCTACCTGATCATGATATTAGTCTGTGCCATGGAGCACCTCGTAGTAGGAGATCCGACTTACTCGCAGTTTGAACCATTGGTTCATCTCCGATTTTCTTTCGCTTCGTGGCTCGTTTGGGAGGAAGTGCATTCGTAGCCTGCCTCAATCGTACAAGCCATCGTCTCATAATTTCAGCATAGTCTTTTGGGTCCCAGCCATCTATGAGAGGCTCGCCCTCGGTGTCCAGTCCAGATTCTTGACACATCTTGCCAAACATCTCTTTGTAAAACTGCTCTTCAATTGGGTCGAGAGAAATAGTAATTACGAAGCGGTGTTGTTTGGGTAATACAAGCTCTCCGCGAACATTTTGCTTTGAGTGACGCAAACTAATAGCCTCGAAAAGCTTGTGAAAATCTTGCTTGGAGTATATAAGCGATCGCCACACCGGGACCAAGAGCTCATATTTCAAGAAAATGAGTAATCCTAGTAAGTCATTGATGTTTTTCCTGACCTAAATTGGAGTCAATATATTTCAGCTCGGTCGATAAATAAGAAGTGCTCCAATCTCCACTACAACCCTTCATTATTTCTTCATGATCAAAGAGCTCTGTCATATGCAGAGCCAATGCGATACAATGAATCCACCGGAAAGGCAGTATATATACAGGTATCAAGCAAGTCACACATTGCTTACCAAACAGGATGCAATGAATGTTTCATAGCACTTGAAACTCCAAACTACTCTGAACAATAAACTGTGGACAGTAGTCCGGATAAGTTCCACATTTGAATAGACAAAAAGATATGAAAGGTTCAGAATACATACTGGAGTGCCTGTGATTGCCCAGGCATTGATTCGAGGTATCATCCTTGCGACGGTTGCGGCTTTACTAACACCACTTTCAACCATTTGCGCTTCATCGAGACATACACGCCACCACGAAAACTTCATTAAAGGTGACTTAGGCCTCTGATATTTTGACTTGCTGCGCAGCGTCGTCCTCTCCGGATTGAGACTGGTGAAGTGGATCTCTGATGCAAGTATAGAGTACGTGGTAATGACTATGTCAGAGGTGGCAAGATCTATCATTGTGGTTTCATATTCAAGTGCCCGGCTCTTGATACCTTCATAATACGTAACCTTGAGACTTGGCGCATGGGCCTTTATCTCACCGATCCATTGTTCTATACATAATCAATAAATAATATCATTGGCACTCGAAATTGATTCAAAACTTACTTGAAATCGAAGGCGGTGATATTATTAGAGTGGCATGTGTTGTGTGCAAAGTGTCTCCAGAAGAAGCATCGATAACAGACGGGTCTTGATCACGACGGGTGTGAAGTGTTATCAGGGCAATCATTTCTACAGTCTTACCCAGTCCCATCTCTTCTGCAAGAATGCCGCCTTTGATATCTTGATCCATCCAAAAGAATGGAGCAAGATCGAAGGTGACTATTGCAAATAAATGACTAACATAACAAGAACGCCCTTGTACATCTGTTGCGGCGAAGAACGAAGGCGGTATTTGGCCTATTGCCTTGGACTGAGTTCTTTCAATACATCCAGCCACGCGAGACCACTCAGAACCTTCCCTACGAAGCATCCATTGAACGGCCCGCTTCTGAAACGGATAGAGGGTTGATTCCAATCCCGGTGTTTCGATCGATGCAGCAATTTCATCATCTGGATCAGGTGAGTGTGCAGATTGATAAAAGTCTTGCGCAGAGAGCGGTTCCAAGCTTGGGCTATTTGGATTGGGAAAGTAAGTGTTTAATACCTTCAACAAAGCATCCGTCTTTCTAGGCTGGATCGATTTTCGATTAGTTGTAACCTCCCACTTGATAGTGAAATCAATCCGAATATAATCTGAGTCACCCATTTTGTACACACTTATTCCGGCCTCTGTCCACAGCTTACTTGATTGTTGAGAACGCTTTTTGGAGTCTCGATCAACCATCAGACAAATGAGTACGTCATCGAAGGAATTTTGAATGCTCATCGACGTGTTTTCAAGTGATAATGGTATGGTAAGCAGAGAGTTATGATTTTCATCTCGAAGGACGATACTAGATGGCTCGGGGTTGCTACCCGGGCGGCCCCAGTGGCTAGTAAAACGAATCTTCTGCCTATTCAAGGTGGTGAAGTCTAACGACAACTTTGATCGAAGACATCTGACTTCCAGCGAAGCTTGTTTGACTGTGATGTAATCCTGAAAAACATCATCGTTCGATGATTCTAATTTCGTTTCTGTTGTTAGTTTCTGACGTTTCCTTAGGGGTTCCTCTGACGTGTTCTATAGCATGGAGTTAGTACTTCTAAAAATCACGAGAAGCTTCAAAGTTCTGCTGCCAAGAAATTCGAATGTGATCCATGAAACACAAATAGTAAACCATAACAGTTACCTGATCTGTGGCAAGATAATTGATCAATGCATCCGCAATATCGGCAACAAAAACATACGGAGCCTTCTCAAAAGGAACGTTATCTTTTGCATCATTCGTTCTTTGTGATTCCTGTGCAATGATGGAGTCATCAGGAGTGATTGCGAAACCCTTTTTCCACTCAGGTTTGCTGGGGGCCATTATATCAAACTTCTGAATCAGGCTTTCACACTAAACGACCTGTACACTTCTAGGCCGCACATAGGCTTCCATGCACATATGAGAAAGTTTACTTTTACCGCGTTCAACAGGTATAAAGATAGGTGTGTTTGATAGATTGGCAATAATGGTTGTTTTGTTGTTCTGACAGAATGTTGGATGATGAAAGATGAAAGACAGATGGTTGAATTCTTTTATGTGACTGTAGTGGTTGACAGACTGGTGATTGACTGCCTTGCGCGAGAGAGACTGTCCGTCTGTACGAACGTAAGAGGTATGCACTTACAGTCGCGAGCATGCACTGTGATAACAGATAAGAGAAGATGTTCGAGCCACCCGCCCATCTACGACATCCATATTCTCGGTCTCCATACTACTATCGGGAGTACTTTAATCCGAGCACATCACATGATCTTTAATTTTTCGAATAAACGCCAAGGTTAAAATCGAATTGTGAGGTAGGCCATTTACAGAGGTACAGCCTTTTAACGGTTGACACAAGTTGACTTACATTGACGCCATAAGTTGACATCAAATCTATGCACCCTTCGGTATCTACACTTTGACCTGCGGGAATCCTTTTCGATATAGGTATATCATTCCTGCTGTACGTTCAATGAATCCTCAGTTCCACTTTCTGGACGATTAGTCCTGCTGTGCGAAACATAGCCGTATTGACTTCCTCTATAGAATCTGCCCATCATGATCCTTAAGCCTTACCAGCTACGACCAATTCCTTCCTTTCTTCTCCCTTTTGCGGATGCAACCACTTGCAATCAAGTACGAAGCCTACATTATCGCATGAAGGCACCGCCTGTACCCCGTCCCACACCATTTGTACCGGATGCTCAAACGTTTCTCACACTCATCGGACGAAATTTGAGCCAGCATGCATCGAAAATTCCTTCATGGAAAGCATTGTTTACATTGACCTCTGATCAACTACGAGAGCTGGGCGTTGAGCCTCCACGGAGTCGACGCTACCTCCTACGCTGGCGCGAGAAATTTAGAAAAGGGCAATATGGTATTGGTGGAGATCTACAACACATCGAAAATGGAATTGCACAGTTGCGTGTAGTTGAAGTGCCGTCATCAGACCCGAGACATAGTACAGCTACCGCAACATCCTCACCGGGACAACAAAAAATAGTGGTCAATATACCCACAGGAAGCAGTGCAGAGGATAGTCTCGCGGGGCAGATGGTGCCAGTTCAGGGTTTACGTATTAAAGGAGCACACACTATTATTGGACCTCATGTACAACCTTCCAAAGGAGGGCAAGCGGCGAAGATTGTCGTTAAAGAAGGATTGTGGGAAGATCGTAGAGGCCACAAGATTGATGGAGGCGAAAGGAGACAGGCCGAAGTTCGAGCAAAGAGGAGAGGAGAGGAGAAACGTGCAGCCAGATAAACATTGAGTAAATCACCAATCTTGTCGTTCATGTAAGATTATATTAGAGGCTGTGTATGGATTCACGAGGAGGAGGTGGCTCTGCTGTGATAGTTCTGGGATCTTCATCCACAGGTCATGGCCTTCTAGAAGATATCACTCGCAAGGCTGCAGATCAACCCAAACATATTGAAGTTATATTTCAACTCAAAATCCTTGAACTGCGATTGGTGGTGTACACGGATGAGGTCGGCACTAGGGCCACGTGAGATTACAGTTTCGCGGCGTAGACGTCAACTTAACGCCATTCCCGTCCGCGTTTAGCCGAAATACCTCAATTGCTACAGATTTCCCTCGACATTCTTTTGTATGCTAACCTTGATCAAGGTTTCTCGGAGATCTCGCGATTCTTTTACGGGATCGGCATACATGGTTTCTTATTTCATGATTCCCCGGACGCAGCCCTCGTAAGCTCGCTCGTGCTCCCTCCCTCGTACCCCTCCCATTGTAGCAATTGCGCTAAATATGCCCGGTGCCACATCGTCAGTGAAATTTGCCCTCCGACTTCAAGTATTCAGAATTCTTTCTCTTTTGTGTACGATAAATGGAGGTGTATTGGTTGATACAATGGTTGTGGATGACGCAAGGGCCCGGCTGTGCTGGGAAACTTCCTGCAAGGCCGGAGGATCTTTCCTCCAGATTACTATCTCGCTAGATAGTCTTACTTGTACAACCCACGCCGATAGTTGATCCCATAGATTATGTACGCACAACCCACTTGCAATCATTAGAAAGAACGTATTGGAGGTCAGCAATTGTTTAAACTCTAGATTGAACTAACCCAGCGGCCGGGACTCGCGTCAGAGATCTCGGGAATACCTGGAAACCATAAGAAGCAATGTTACTAAGCCAATACAAATCGATTCACTCAAGCTGGCCAATCCCATACTCATCTAGCAAATGGTCGTTCATTTCGCGCAGGAGCGAAGGCAAATGTATACCAATCTGTGCCTCTTTGGCACAGCAAGGCTCTTTGATATGTTCTCGTCTGATGTTTTTCTCGTTCTCCATACTGATTGAGCGAATAGTGGCACCTCAAATTGGATACTAACAAGCATTTGCACAACGACGTCGTTTAGTCGTTTATGGGTCCCGAGTCAAATAGTCGATGTGGTAATGGATGTGTGCGTCATCTCATCTCAGAACAAGTGATCAGAATTGTAAGTGTCCTTACGGCGCAATGCATTAAAGAACGTCTAGGAGTGTAGCTGAGGTCTGTATACGACGATGTCCTTTGAAAGTAGAAAAATTTGACGAGTTCGGTGAACTGATTCGTGATGTATCGCCGGCATTTTGACACTACTGACCTCAGGAAAGGATACCTAGATGGTACATTTACAAAATAGGTGTACTTGATATACTGACCGTACCTAGATGAGTCTATTCATTGATCACAAAGTTTTTTTTCTACATGGGACTTGTCTGCCTGATTTCCCATTAAATTGATCCCTTTTCCAGCCTAGCCAAGTGTAAACGAACCTATGCAGGAACCGAATCTCTACCTGAACATCTTCGAAAAACAATGGGTACTCGCTACCATTTCCACAAGTGGATTTTCAATCATCCTCTTGTCTTCGGCTTTCATGGCGAAAGCAAAAACCGCAAATTATTGTTTATTGAAGCTCAACCATAGGTTTTTTTTGATTTAGAATGGTCAGAAACGGTAATGCCGCGAAGAAGGATTCCTGGCAATTCCTCTCCATCTTCTCTGAGAACGGATGGCCCCCACCACACCGCAAGGCCATCATCTCATCGATTTGAAGCTCCACTATCAAGATAATCCTAGATTCATCATCCTCCCCTTTCTCGTTTCGTATTTCCCATCTCGTCCGATTTTTGGAGGAGTTCCTCTATACAATGTCACATGCACACTTAGTCCAATCACTGAATCAGGTTGTAGTCCAATTCAGGTGAGGCTGCCTTAGAGGAACGGGGACCTTCTCGATAGTTCGTTCAGTCATATGCTACTCTTATCCACCTATAGTCAGTCACGTTTTGGTGGTGGTCATATCTATGATCCGTCTGGAGGCAGTGCTTCTACTTGACGTTCCATCCACTCTTGGTCTGCTTTTTTTCTTGTAATATGCTTATGGAGATCTTTATATATCTGTTGATATCCAAAAGCGATCATCGAATCTGCCCTCCGCGCCACTGTATGGTTTCTATAAAGTAGAGAAGTTTCCTTTTACCCAAAAGCTATCAACTCATCATCATTATCATTCATCATTTTGTGATGTCAAGAAAGCTATAGCATTCTTATCTACATCGTCATTCATTGCTCTACGTTTCACGCGTCTTAAGCACTGCATACACCGTTCAAGCAAATTCAAACAGCGCCGTCGTCATTCTGATCATATCATCCTCGAAGTCTAGTAGTAGGATATCTCAACGAAAGCATCAAGTTCCGCTGTTGATGTCAGTATACATTTTTCTATCCACTCAGCCAGTTTCTGAACATTGAAAGGGCAGACTCCTATAAGTCAGAGCATATCGAAACTTCCATCGAACAGGAAGAAGCATCCGAAGCTCCTTGCACTATAATTGAGGATCCTGAATACAATCAAATCATCAAGTTAGAGTCAAATCTCGAGCCAATACCTGAGACACAACCCGAAATGTCTTCTTCCCATCGATCTTCATCTGGCAAGGGAAAAATCTCCTCTTCTGGGAAGTCAAAACCAAAGCAAGACGATTGGTCTGGTATCACAGATCCAGAAGAGCGAAGAAGGGTACAGAACAGGTTAGCGCAGAGGAAGTTCCGTAAGTTATCACCGTATCACTCAGGCTTCAGCAATTTACTAATGTTTTATAGGTGATAAGACCAAGGCGGACAAAGAGCGTCAAGACCGAGATGATGAGAATCGTGCTCACGCAGGCCATTCTTATCATACAGCTGACTCAAATGATGTATACTATGACACTGCAGATGCCGGCGGGTCTCCATGGGGTTCCGTCTCTATGAAACATGTTGTTTCGAAAGGTAGAGCTCATGAGGATGCATCTAGACACGGGTCTCGGCCAGACGACGAGGCAAGCTACTATGAAAACCCCGACGCAGCTTATGAAGGGGAAGGCTATTACAGAGGAGATGCGACTTCTTATGAGGATGATCAAGCCTATTACGATTATGGGAGTGCAGCTGGCAGCGGTAGCGGAACTTCAGGTTATTGATCAAATCAATATGACTCACCTGGTCATTGGGTAAAAGCAACGGCGGCGTGCGACCCGGAACGACCTAATCACATTTCACGACCTTGAGACAAATTTTCAGGCTGCTCTTATACCCTGGCTTACACGCTGTATGATACTTTTAGGCCATTTCCATTTATTCTCGACTTTCATTTTAGAATTCATTTTTATCGATACACACGGTGGACAAGCAACAAAAAGGAGGATAGATTTAACGACACCCTGCCCTGATATACTTACGCAATTTATTACTACTTTCATTTCATCTAAAGTTTCGTCTTTTTCTATCGGGCAGAAATCGATTGATGCCTGTTTTCATGTAATACTAGAGTTTCTATGTTCTATGGTGCTTACTTTTTTGTGGCTCAAATATCCAGAGTTGAATTTGTGAATTCAGCTCACTTTGTACTTTTACACTTCTATAGAGATTTCATCCAATGCAAAAACTTTAACGTAAGCCTTTGAAAAAACATGAAGTTTGCGAGATTATAGGCGCCTGGCAAGACTGCACTCGCTAACCCCTGACGAAGCCACCGCATGGTTGTCTCATGGATGCCAATCATGATTGTTAATGTAATCATTGGCAAAAACTACCAGCCTGCATAGCTTGCAAGTTCACACAATGACAAGGAAGTTCGCCATGAGTACGAGAGATAGAAAGGAGGGTGAGGTTGTTGAAATCTGTCAAGCCATTCTTCACCAGGATTGGTGGGGGAAAATAAACGTCCGAGGCTGTGCTTTTGTGAGGTTCTTATGTCGTGCGACCAGATATGACAGGTTCTGTTGCGCATCTCACTCAGCCTGAATTTTAAAGTAGATAAGCATTCCAGATAGGAAAACATACGAGATGAGAGCTTCACGGCAGTTCTCGTATAGTTCGTGTGGAGAACGGATATGCCTTGAATTCGATCCTTAGGAAGCGGATTGATGCGTTTTTGACGACGGAGACAGGGTATAGATGGTGGAAGGAAGATTCGGAGTGGCGAAATAGGAAACATTTCAACGTTTTGGGATTGGTAGTTCTTCTTTCCTGGGATACTGGCTCACGAGAGGATTCATTAACCTTATGTCCAGATTTGGGAAGCGGTTAGTGGATGATGAATGGTAAGGCGTGTAACGAGTACTCCAACGCCAGATTGTGGTAGGTGCAGTGCATGGGATGCTGGGGAGGTACTAGGTAGTTAGTTCGATCAAATGCCAGATCATCTGCAGATTCTAGACGTACAGCAGTCGTGACAGAGTTTCAGCTGATGCTGCATGCTCCCGCCGTAAAGGATCACTAGGTATGTAAGGTATGGGCGATGTGTCCTAGGCGGGGCCGGGTCTGTTATATTCCTTTCAGTGGGTAGCGAGGGGGACTACGTAGTAAGTAGCCCAAGACGAGACCGAGATATCAATAGTACGTTTGGTACGTAGGGATCAATGCAGACAAAGATATTTCTAGATTGAAATGGAATATGATGGAGCAAGTATTCAATCCTGTCTGTGATTGTGATAGATACACTTGACACCTTGGCTTTAATTGAAAAGATTCTACATATCCATGGATATTCATGTCCTGTTGCTCTGTATTAGTTGTCCATACCTAGGTACTTAGCCATGTATGTTTGATGTTCGCCTTTTTCTTCATTTGATAAGGGGAGCTGGACTGAGAAGCAAGCTAGCTCATCCGTATCGTAGCTCATACGGTGACCCACAAGCACTATAGATGCCTGAAACTACGTATTCTCGCACTCTCAATACTCTAGCACGTCTAGTACTGATAATTCACAGCTAATGACCTAATAAGAAAGCAAAGCTACCTACTATCTTAATAAGTCAAAATGTAGAATCCCGAGTAAGTATAGAAGTTCGAAGCTTCAATTTCCCATCAAACAACATCTGTCAATTCCAACTATCTTTTATCTTTTATCAATTTGCAATCAAGATCATTTTTTATCAATATTTCGTTTTAATTCACCAAATTTCAATTCGAAGATCAATCCCAATAATAATCGAATCTAAAGAGATTTCCATTCCAACATCCATTAATCTCATCGATACAATTGCTTTTGCTTTTGCTTTCACTTTGACTTTGATTGATTACTTCTCCTTTACTATTCGGTCCCATGCAGTAGCGACGGAAAATGGCAGATTCACAAGATCCAGTCGTCACTGTCGCTTCCGACAAGGAAGATGTATCACCAACTCCTTCAAAATCAAAAGCCTCGCCCTCAAAAAATGTTACTACTAATACCAACTCTCCCCAAAACCCTCCATCAACAACGACGAAACCAACACATGATATAACGACGGAAGACGAGGAACGCAGAACCCCCGTCCCAGATAATAATTTAACCACGCCTGCTGGCAATACATCGTCGCGCTCACGCAACAAATCGGCAAAAGATCAAGCATCTACTATGCAAGGAAATCTTGTACCTCAGAATAACAAGGTTCGTCATCTGAAAAAGGATGACGGAGAGCCTCTATGGAGAAAGGACATCCAATATGATTTTTTGAAGCTCATCTTTGAGGACGACAACGCCGTATTCACAAACGGTTACGATGATACCCTACCGAAACAGACTTTCGCAGACCTCTATATCGATACGATGGCTAGGAGTAGTAAGACGAGTAAGATCTTGAGGGACAAATTACTGAGCGAGCATGAGCCAGCGAAGAACATGGCAATGGTGTGCCTTTTGGTTAATCTTGGTCGCATGAATACCACTTTGAATTGTGAGTAATTATCTTCTTCGTTTTTTCGCATATATTAATAATGTTTTAGTCTTTCCAGAAATGCGAGCACAACTTCGTACCTATCATGCCATTCCATCTTTGCAAGCTCGACAAGATCCGAATTCTTACAAGCAGCTTCAAGATGCGCCTCGACTCAAATCTATACTGAAGGGTGCATCTGAGGATCGTCCTGAACCTGGTACATTGGAAAAGATCAAATCAACGCCGATTCCTCGAACAAACCCAGTCAACCTTATTTTCGTTCTTACTAACCATGCTACGAAGGTTACGGAATTGCATTTTCCTACAACCCGGGAATTTTATGATCTAATCATGAACACTCAAATCACCAGCAAGTCGAGAGCAAAGGCGTTTTTATGGTTGATGTGGTTCTATCTTGAGTCGGATTTCACGGAAGAAGGGGCAGATGAGAACCCATTTGGGTCTGGCGTAGATTATGATACCGACGTCAGAAATCAAGGTGTTCCACGACTACAAGATATGACAGAAGAAGAAGAATTATTGGAGAACGTTGATACAGAAGAGGAGCTAGAGTATGGCCATACTAAAATGCGCGAACGCAAACGTATCATTGAAGCAGACCAAATCGCTTTCCAAGCAGAGAATGGTCCTCCAAAACGTGGTCCTAAGCCAAAGCTCAACTTACCGCTCGATGAGGGTTCCAATTCATCTACTATTATGAGTCGTGTTCGGCCTCGTTATGATGATGTAGTTGGAACTCCTGCTGGTTTGATTAGTAAGATTCGCCCCAGACACGACTCCGATCTTGACAGCACACGCTCAACCCCGCCCCCTCGAGTCTTTAGTTCCAGCAACATGCGTATTAACAGTGTTCTTAATGCAGGCTCCAGGTATCGAAGCGGAAAGAATGGTGAAGGGTCATCTCCAGCGCCAGAGGTGCCAGCTACTCTTTCCAGGCGACATCGACCCCTAACTGCACATCAAATCGCAGTAGAGCGGAACAGGAACCAACGAGTCGATTATATTCTCAGTCGTGGTATTAGAAAGGCACACCACTCGGCGAGAAAGTTGCGTAAACAGCAAGGCGTTTTCGCTCGTGCATACCAGAGGGTGAACGCGATGTCAGATCCATTCAGCGACAGTGAAGATGACACCTATCACAGGAATCCTTACCCATTCAAAGAACGTGGGTTTGGTGGTCTAGTTCAACTCGAAGCTGAAGAGGATGATTTTGGAGAAGAAGTATCATCGTATGCAGCTGCTTTTCGACGTGCCGGAAGAAGACTCGATCGTTGGGATGGTCAGAAGGGCTTGAATCTTGGAGTTATTGGCACCAACCGCATCTTGACAAGCAATGGCGTCAACGGTCATCGCGCACGCGATAGTGATGAAACCGAAGATGAGCCAGACGAGCCAGTTATTCATAACCCAAAGCACCAGGCGAATGGGCATGTTACCGTACACGCAGGAGGGGATGACGATCTTGACGATATGGATAAGGAGCTTCTGGGTTTGGTATCTGATGATGACGAAGATGGTCTCGACCCGATGGAAAAATCTTTGTTGGGAATTGGTGGAGACGAAACCGAGATAGAAGCTAGCGACACGGGAATGGATGTGGATTAGCTCAACTTGTATTGATATGATAGGGTAGGGTATTGAAGGGTATGGAGATAGCTCGATAGGCTTGTCGAAAGAGGCGTTTTGGGGAGACAAATTATAGCTGGCGTCATTATTAAGGCATGAAGTGAAAACGACTTTATAACCTGCCGAAGGATATTTGATAGAGGGACGAAAGGGTTTGAGCAAGATGTGATAGCTATCTATGTATAACAAATTATTCTTAGGTACTTATCCTTAGCAGCCAAGGAAATCTATAGTTGCATGATTTTACTAAAGATTTTGAGACGTTTAAAGTGTTGATACATGTGTTGTACAAGTTTGGTAGAATACCTAGATACCTACCTACTAAACACCGTTTTCAAGAGGCTGTTAAGAAACCGTTTATTCGATTGTGACACCGGCATAAGTACTTCATTGAGAGAGTACCTACCCAGCACATTAGGCTATTTTTAGAGGAGGGATCCATTATTCCGTGGTGTAAATGCAAGTAATCGCAAATTAAGGATAATAAGTTACGCACAGAGTCGTTGAAACTTATCAAGAGCTTACATTTCTAAGGTTCTAAGGTTCTAAGGTTCTAAGGTTCTAAGGTTCTAAGGTTCTAAGGTTCTAAGGTTCTAAGGTTCTAAGGTTCTAAGGTTCTAAGGTTCTAAGGTTCTAAGGTTCTAAAAGGTTGTCATCAGAGATACCTCCTACCTAGGTACCTAGTAATAAGTACATAGATACCAGCTAAATGTACCTGAGCCTACGTAGTACCTACCTTCTTTTAGTATCTATTACTAGTACCTACCTAGTACCTAGATGTAGATATCTAGGTACATCGTTTTCTTTCATAAGCTCATTTTATTTCGGGCAAGCACATCACTCCCCTTTCTAGAGTTCTAGAGGTTCTAGAGCTTCTAGAGCTTTCTCGTATATAATTATCTCCCTATCTATGTATACATATAACTATAGGTAGGTATGTATGTATATCTATTGATTTATTTCTCTATCTGTTGGCTTACCCAGGTATCTATGTATCTATCTATCGGTCTACCTTTGTATCGGTCTATCTATCCATGATTGATCGATTATCTACATCCTGTGTGAGATTGCACAGCAGGTCTTTGAAACCTAAATTCAGGGTTAGTGGATGAACAAGCTTCCAAAAAATTGAACTTTGGAAAAAATACGTCACGAAGCCTACCATTTTATAATTTATCATGTATCATTTATAAATCACTTAACTAAATAATCACAATCCGAAACCTTGCCATTTATTCCAATCCAATCCTATTCAATCTAATAATCTTTCCCATTTTATAGTACCTGCCTTGCGCAGTGTATACTTAAAATTATAATCCATTTTATTCAAGGAACTCTATCTTCTGCGACCATCCAACAACTCGGCCTTGAATCATCTATGCGGACCAACGATGAACGTGAAAACGTTAATTAATTGAACCTAAAGGAGTTGTCGAGAATCTGCTGGAAAACTTCTCTCCGACCTTGCTTATTCTTGTATGAGCTCCCACGACAAGATGTTCTCTTATTTACGACCTCACCGGCGCATTCCCTCGACCCCTTCATCCCCGATTCCTGAAGTGCCTAGTTTTGAACCGCCAGCACGTCCAGACCATGGCCATCCTCCACGACCTCATGATGCTAGATTCGAAGATGAGTCGTCGCCTGTTTCCTCTCCTCCATTTTTACCTCCCGTCGCGCGGGTTTCGAGCGCGGGGTACGGAAATACATTTGAGAATTTGAGTTTCAATGGAAAGATCACTACACACAGCCATGATCCAAGAGGGCAGAACTGGGTGGATGCGAAACTCAATAATGGACAAAAGGGGGGTCCGGAGCCTGGAAGCAGCCAGAAATCGCCATTATATACGAGCAGTCAAAAGTCTGAATCTGCGGAACATGCAGGATCGGTGCCAACTAGAAATGCTGGACCAGAACATTCTAGATCACAATCCAATGCCATTTACGATTCGAATACGAAGAAGTTCTTTGGGCCGATAATTCCAGAGCTAGATATCAAATCGACTGGGAGACGACCTACGGGTGCTCGAATTCCTTCTCCAACCCTCGAGGCGCCTCCCACACAGTCATCCAAAGGAAGATTAAAGATGTTGAATCCCATGGCTCTTCTAGCCCGACGAAGAACTTCCCAGGCTATAACTCAACTCACACCGGAATCGCTTACGACAAACTTCAATTCGAATGATAATTTTGATCCTCGAATTAAAGGCACAGTTGTTCACGACTTTAGTGCGCCAAGGGGACCACGACGGAATGTCTCCCATAATGATGTCAGTACAGCGGATGGGACCAGGTCGTTCCAGAGGAGTCCTTATACGGATTCAGCGACAAGCGATAAAGCAGGAAATCACACACCAGTATTCACGGAGAATTTTGAAGAGGAACAATATCCCGCCGCTGGTCCTCATGTGCGGAAAGCTAACGACTTATCTGATCTCACTGCACCTAAGCCTTTGTATGCGCGAGAAACTCAAAGGCCAGTTGATCAAGGCACGGCGTCTAAAGGAAATGATGAGTTGCAAGCTGGAGATCTAAAGAGGTTGAGTGCACAAAGGTTATCCTCGGATGCTGGCCCTCCAGTAATACCAAAAGCCGAAACTCCTGGCCCAGTTGAAACGAAACATATATTAATTGACCCGGCATCAACTCCACCTAAAGCATGTCCGTCCTCGAAAAACGGTGGTCGAGCACGAAATGTATCCGATGTTTCGGCAAAGGATATTCCAAAACACATGAAGAGTACGTCTTCGAGGTTCAGTTTTGATATGATAGGAGCTGCGGAACAGGAACGCCTGCTTGAAGATAGACATCGTCAGAAGGCGTTGGAGAAGAAGAACAATTTGGACAGTAACGACGATCAACAAATGTATGATGAGGATGATGACTTTAATTATGATGACATGATGGATGATGATGGATTAGAGGAGAGAATACCGGGTGTCAACGCTGATTATGACGAAGAGGATGCATTTGCTGGATTCGATGGTGGATATGAGGAAGATATACCAGGCATCAACACTAGTACTTTGGAAGAGATTGAAGAAGCAGAAGAGCAGCAAGAAATGGAACAAACTGCTCCCGTTAAGAATGAACCGCAACTCGGTCTGCTAGATGGAAATGTGGCAGGCTTTACCTTTCAACCACACGTACCTAGTCCTATGAGTCCGTATACTCCTGGAGCTGCGACGACACCTCGTGACTCTAATGGGCAAGTGATTGGCTTCGCTATGACGAAGTACTCGCCTTGTCTTACGTCGGATCCTCCTAGTTCTGTCTTCACACCAATCTCTCCAGATGGCAATTTGCACCTCCTAGACAAGCAGCTACCTGGAGGGAAATCTATTACAGAATCAAAATTTCAGGGCCTGGGTATAGTCACCGAGGTTCCAGATGAATCACAGGATGATGTCACCCAACAGCAAAGCTCCAAGTCAACGTCATTCTCTTACATCCCAGGACTTGATGACGACGATGATCTGTATTTTGATGATGGTATGATTGGTTTGGAGGCGGGAGGCGATGAGAATAGAGATGCTGGCGGTTTTGATGAGTCTTTATTTGACAACAATGATACGGATGAATATGGACGCCCGATAAAAGATCAATTTATGGCTGCACAGATGCCGAACGTTGTTCCGACTGGTATTGCAGATACAATAGGGGAATCCAAAGAGGACACTCTATCACCGCTGTCTCCAATAGCTAATCGCCCAGTTGGAGGTTTAGCACCACAACCATCCTTCTCTGAAAATAGAACCTCAGATGCGGCCCCAATTCAATTGATAACTCAATCATTGACGCAAGATAAGCTTGCTGCATACCAAGCATCCCTCGCAGCGGCTGCTTTCAGTGCAGCTGCCAGTGGCAAATTTCGACGCGATAGTACCCAAAGTTTATTTCACATTGACTCGGATCGCGAAGAAAATCAACCTGGCTTGGTCACCGATTCTGGTCATACTTCTTCCCAATATGATCATCTATCCCCATCGTACGATGATGATTTTGATTATGATGATGCATTAGAGGACGATGAATTCATCGCTGCTGCTAATGCAGAAGCGCTTGCAAACGACCAGGATGGGTTTTATGGCCAAGAATTTGGGTTTTACTCACACCCTGCGGCTAGCTCTGCAGAGTATGTAAATGGTGGATATTTTGGTCCAAGGGGTATGGATGGGATAATGAGAAGTCAGAGCGGTAGAATTGCGTCCCGAGAACCTAACCTTACACCTATCACTGAGCGCTCGGAGTACTCCAATCGTAATTCTTTCATGTCGATTTCACATCTTCACGCGCCGTCCGGTAGCTCTCCTATGGTTAGTCCGGGCTTGGCACAGTTGATGATTGCGGAGAGTTATGAGAAGGGCTCGGATATGAGTATGGAAGCATTGTTGAAGCTGAGAAGTCGTGCGTGGGGTGGAAGCCAAGCCAGTGTGAAAAGTTCGGGTAGTAATGGAAATGGAAATGCTAGTCCAAAGAGTGTTGATGGGAGTGGCAGTCCTGTGGCTGCAGGACCGCTTGTACAATCACTTTGGAGTCGCAGAAAGAGTAGCGCATTTGGTCTTGTAAATGAGGAGATGGAGAGTGGGATTGGCGATGTGGGGAATTTGAATACGGATCAATCGTCCCCTGAGTTGGAAGGAGGGAATACTATAGCGAAAGATGTATCATCAGGGAATGAACATGAAGGGGATGTTGAAAAGGTTCGAAGGCCATCATTTATCAAACAACATAAATCTACAACAAGCGCGGAGTCGATTAGCTACATGAAAGAGGATGATCCTATCAAAGGCGAAAGATGGATCTTGGAAAGGAGGAGAACAGCGGATAGTGGAGAGGTGGAATTGTTAGGTAGGGAGGTTCTAAGTGGTGGTGCGATTTAAGCTCCTTGGTTTCGTGTCAGTATAAGCTCTGCTTCGCTCTTGCATATATTTGGCGGTTAGCGATTATGTTCTATTTTTATTTTTATTCTGGTGCGAGGGAGGGAAGCTTGATGGTTTAGAGAAATACTTTGTGGGAACGGGAACATACATGTAGGGATAGGAATAGATTGGTAGAGGGAGGAGAGGACGTCTTTGTCTTGGGGAGATGGGGTTGTCACTTGTGCAGGGCGTAATACTATTTACAATTAATTGTTATGATATCCAATGTTAATTTTTTTTATTCTTCAAGTTTTTTTTTTTTACATGATTGAAGTTGTAAGTAGGGTGGGGTTTGATATATTATTGTTTGTAGTTTGCTGTGTGATTGTGTTGTGCATGTATGGGCTGATGATGTAGGATAAAACTTAAGTGGTGTGTTACAGGAAGGATGGGAGTATAATGGATTTTTTTTGTCTTTTTCTTGCTGCGGTTGGACTGTTTTGGATTGGTGCGTCTTTGTAAGATTTCTGAAGTGTGTGGCCTCTCTCTCTCTCTCTCTCTCTCTCTCTTTTGATGTTTGTAGAAAGAGAGATTTAAGAGGGAGGGTCGATTTCGGTGGTGTTTAGAGAAGAAAGAGGAATTGAGGAAGTGGGAAGGCATATAGGGGTTTGGAGAAGGTTATTTTTGGTGGGGATGGGGGATGGGGGATGCGAGTTCAGATTAATTTGGGTGAGGGATTTCGGGCAGGCTGAAAGGAGTGGGGATTTGAAGAGATATTCGGGGATGGTGAAAAGAGATTGGTATTCGGGAAGGGTTTGGGGTGATTGAAGTATTTTGAATATTGGTGGTGGGGAGGTTGCGGGAGTAATGTCTTTAGAGGGGAGCTTGATTGATGGAGGGAATGGCTTTGACAGCCAGAAGGCTTGTCTTTTTTGGAAGAGTGTTGCTACTTTCTTGTTTTGCAATGGAATCTTCACAGAGCATAAGGGGCTTCTTGATACTTTGTAATGGTAGTATCTGATGCCGTTAATCTTGTTGCTTCTGGTCGGAAAAGATGTGTGCGAATCGATATTGTTCTATATAGGATTTTAATGGGCTGATATCTTTGCGCACGCAGATATATATCTATATGGTACTTCTATCGAATCTTTGCACTCTACTATTGTGTTCCTTGGAAACATGATTTGCTCTATTCTCTAAATCGATACCTCGTTCCTGTTGTGCCGGAAATGATCGTTGATGGTAGCAAGGACGACACGTTTCAATGAGAGAACAGCTCCAACTAAAATATATGAAATTCGGTACGACTTGTGTATATATTAAGTGAGGAAAAGTAAGGATGAGGATATCACGCTATCTGCTTCCATAAGTATCGTCTATTCATGCAACATTCTCACAGTTGACCAGCTTTTGACAGGAAATGAACCGCTTGTAAACTTTGGAATTGCCAAAGATGCACTTTTTGCAGTGCGTTCATTTCTAGAGTCGAAGACCCGTTGCTAAGTACCCAGGTGTCTCTAATCGACAGGTGCTGTCCAGGCATCACATTACTTCTGCACTTGCCGCCCTGGACCACTACCTCCAACGGTACAGCACAGTCGCTGTTCAGTGTTCTAGATCATCAAAATGTAGCAATCTAAGCCGGAGATTCTACAGCGAGAAGTTCTGCATGATCGCGCGAATACAGAATCCATGTAGATAGACGCCTTGTTGCTTAAATTTGATGGAGTTTCAATCATTTGAGATGAGTTCTACGGTCTTCTATGAATACGATCTTTGAATTATGGTGAGAAGCGCTACTTAGGTAGTTTTGGGGAAGTAACTTGGAAGGTGAATATAGTATCTGCCGAACAAGTAAAGATGAGAATATAAGTGAATAATAAAAAGTGAATTGATCCCTTTGAATTTTGAAATTATGAAGTATGGGATGTAAATCCTGGTGAGATTGAACGAAGCTACGGAGCTTCAAATTTATACCTATCTAGGCCTGAAATTACTATATCAAATGAGTTCGTTGTAAGTAGTAGTGAAAGAGTCTTAGGGCATACTTGGATAGTCTACAATCATCAATAATTTGGCTGATTTGGAATCACATAAAATGATCCAAACTCAAATGCTATGACAAATAATAATGGGTATAGGTTGTTTGACGATGGACAGGTGTCATTGGCTATAGTTATGTATATTCGGAAAGTATACATTCATAAGAAGAATCAAGAGAGAGAGAGTGTGTGTGTGTGCGCGAAATGCACCCTCTCTCCCTCGAGTTTCATTCCCATATCTATAACCTTGCCAAGGTTACCCCTTCGCTTCTCTAGGACGTTGGTCACGTGCTCTTAGAGAACGTCAATGTCTCTAGCGATGAGCCTACTAGACAAATAAGAGAGGGTTTGAAAGCTTATATTGACGAAAAGATTCTGTGAGGAATTCATAAAAATGATCTTCAAATTTGAATACGGAGATAGTGTGATGCGATGCGCTACGTTATGACAGAGGCCAGAGCAATCTTCAGGTCGCAAGAGAGAGAAATTAAAGAGACAGTATACCAAGTAATACATACATCGTATCCTACATGACTCCAAGATCATTGTATGATCCTTCATCGATCTCATGTGAGTTTGAAAGGGGGCTGGGAAGAAATGAAGATGAGATGTGTGGTGAATATCACCAAGTCCTTCACCATTGGTTAAACGAAGAACTTCACTCTATTTCACCTTCGAACAAACACCAGCGACGACATTTAATCTATGTGACTTCTTTACCAGCCTCCTTTTATCAAGGTAGTGCAGATTCAAGGCAATGAATGAAACTCATCTTTGTTGGCTTAATTTCTTCGCACAATTGAGAAACATCTAGAAATACCGATTTCCTTCCTCGATGTTCTTATTCCTACGAACACGAAAGCAAGACTGGTGGAAAGAAAAGCTAATTTCATTTGAGCGTACTTTTTTCCTTATTTCACGATCTGTTCAGAACTTCAGAACCACACTTCGACCTTTCAATTCCCCTCTTACCCCTATTACCTGTGTACCATCAGATAATCTGTTGAAGCTGTTTGTACCAGTTGCAACTTAGGGTGTTTTGAGTTGTCATTTGCCTGTATACTCTACTATTTCTCGCATCACCATCTTTCACCTACAGCTCGCCAATCTTCCTCTCGCCGTGTTTTTCCAATCAATTGTCGTCGTCCAGAGCGAATCTTGAGAATTTGTCTTCTACCGTATCAAGTTTTACGGTACCAGCCATACCAGCCATACTAATATACACACAGCTCATTCTCCTTTCACTAACAGTTCTGAGCACGTTCTGTTTTGCTTATAGGCCTTCATCTGCACCAACACAGGATTTCTCCTAATCTCCATCTTATTTGATAATTACTTAAGAACTTCAACATTATCAGTGCAAAGAATCTCCAGCAGAAAACTTTCAAATTACCTACTTTCACTATCTCAAGTAATAACTCAACTCAAACGAAGAACTTACCAATCCTATTTTCGACCTCGATTCTTGTCACCATCACATCAAATACGTGGAACTACTTCTGCAACTTGTATCGCAAATTTCATCAATCACGACGACTTTGTTCCGTATAATCGAAACACCTGTGATTTTTATGAATCTCCTCATATTCTTCTTGTTACTCATCAACTTACTTCGAAGCTACGCCAAGATGTTACCAACACAAGCAACATATAGCGCCCCGAATTCTACCCAAAAGAAGTCCGCCGATATCAAATGCGTCCAAACCACCAAAGGATGGGTCTGCGCTCTTTGCTTTCCTCTCGGACATCCTAGTCGTGCTCTTGAGCGTGTTATGAACCTTGCTGAGCTCAGAACTCATGCTGCTGGAAATCATTATGCTTCTCTCGGTCAAGATGAATGGGATAACTATGGTAAGTCAAATCATTTGCTAATATCACAACTCTTGATAACCAGCACTACAGTCAAGAATTCTGTTTACTTCGAGGCACAATTCAGAAACCAAAGCAGTCTTGGTTTTAACAATGGTGTCATGCATGGTCCCCCTACCATTGCTTCGCAAAAGACGCCTACCAACAAGGCCGGTGTTCTCAAGCGTACATATGTTCAGAAGGCTGAGTCTATCGCCCCCGAGTCTGCATTTGATCTTATGGAAACCATGATCAATTTCAATCCCATTGCCAACGATGATGCCGCTAACTTGTCATCGCCAACTACTCCAGTATCCAAAACTGGTCCTTCTGGCGATTCATACGCACATCTTCAATTCAATATGGCTCCACAAGATGAGTCTGAAATTATCACATCACCAGATACACCATCTCGCAAGAAGAGTGTCACCCCCAAGAACCCCCTTCGTCAAAGATTGAGTGAAAACCCTTCATTTGAATCTGCAGTCTCTGTTCACGGCCTCGCTAAAGTTCAAGCTGCTGGTAACATTGGCCTTCAACGATGTCTCGATCGACAAGCTCGTGGTCTTCCTCGCACATCCAATGTCCCTCTCCAATTCGCTGCGACTCCTCGCAACGGTACCATGGATCTTCCTCTTACTGCTGCAAACTATGCTGCTGCTGGTATGCCGAATATCCAGATTGAGAAGCCTACTAGACGTACCAAGAAGATTGATCGCCGTCGTCAACGATCAAGTTCTCTCAATATTGCTGATGCTGCTGGTATTGACACCTTTCAGTTGACTAACACTGCTACGACCAACACCTCGCTCAATATCTTTGGAGTTCCGGCTACTATCTATGGCCAAGCACCCGGAGCTGCTTACAAGTCTCACGCATATAAATCTATTTATGCAGACGCTCCTTCGCAGAACCAGCTCCCACATCCAGAGCTTTCTCTTCCCGGCCTCTCTTTTGCAGATCAATCAATCAGCAATATTGGTCTCGATAACATTTGCGAATCTTTTGACTTCAACTCATACATGGCAGACACCAATTGTACAGTGGGCAACGATTCAGCTGTTGAAGCTACAGCTCCACAACAAAATACCGATACCGTCGATGACTTCTTCACATGGGCTGGCATTACAAACCACAATATAGCCCCCTCGAACGATATTGAGAGATTTGATGCCGATTTCTTCAACATCGCTAACATTGCTAACACGGATAGCTCTGAAATCGATGCTATGTTGGGTTATGGTAATTCCTCTTCTCCTCAGAGCAGTAACCATAACTTTACGATCTTCAAGGCCACTTCTTTTGAATATGGTCCTGCCGGTGTTCAAGTCTTGAAGGATGCTGAAGCAATCATCTCTGCTCGTTCATCTTTATCTGGAACTAGCTCGACTGCTTTTGCTTCTTCGTTAAATGCTTTATCGCCTTCTCTAGCTGGTTCGAACGATTCTTCTGTCACCAAAGCTTCTGTACCGGTGGTCAAGACTCTTTCTGGTGCTGTTGCTCAAGAAATGGCTGCTGTCCCACTTTCCATACAAGAGCTGGAGTCTGCCTATAAAGCATTGACACAAGAGCTCGCATTACAAAAGGGATTGCACCAAGCAGATATTAGACGTCGCAAGCTTGAGGAAGAGAAGACTACCCAACGCCGCGAGAATGAAGCTCGGATCAAGAAGAAGACCGATGCTCGATATCAGAGATTGAAGGATCAGAGAAAGGCCAATGAAATTCTAACAAAGCAATTGGCGGACCAGAAGAAGACGAACGATGATTTGAGAAAGCTACTGGCACAGGAAAAGACTTCGCGCGAGGAAGATAAGGAACGCCACAGTGCTGAGTTCAAGGAACAGACTGAGCTTGTTACTAGAGCCAATGCCACTATTTCTCGACAAGTTTCGGAGATCGATATGCAGAAGAAACAACTTCGTCAGAAGACCAGAGTAGTGGCTGCTACGACTACTAGAGAGGCCGAAGCCATGCGAGCTCCCGTCATGCAGAAGCCTACTATCGACAGAAGAAAGCTTGTCACCGCCAAGAAACCAGTTGCTTCCATCCAGGCACCCGAAAGACTTGTCTCAGCCTACGATAAAGGTAGAAAGATAACTCAACCATCCAATGTCGCTACCGCGATCGATTCGACTCGGGCTTCGAGCTCTATAAAGCGAGCTGCTCCTGGTGCTTCGACTTCTTCTTCTACTAGGGAACAAGTCATCAAGAAGGCACGAATTACTGTTGCAGGCGATGCACCAAGAAAGTTAGTTCCAGATAGCAAAGGAGGATATCATTGGAGTAATAAGTTCGATACTTCGGATAAGTTGGTGGGCGAGGAAAAGAAGAAGGCAGATGCGGAGCACGATAAAGAGTGGTTGAAGATTATGAATGAGCATACGGATAACAAGTTTCCTGGTAATTCATTGGGTATTCGAGGTCATCTTCCTGATCCTAAGCGTTTCAATGATCACGGACGTTTCTAAGGGAATCGGGACTCGAAAGGGCTGGATGATTGGGAGATTGGGAGATTGATTAAGATTGATTAGTTTTCTTTGTACACTTTTGGGAGGGAAACGGGATATAGGATTCTCCAGATTTTGTATGAGCACGGGGTCGATAATTAGATAGATATACGCTCATCTATATCCGCGCAGTTTAGACTCGAGCGTGGTTTGAGTAGAGAGTTTTCATGTTATAATGTTTTTACTACAAAGTGAGTTCAGTATTCTTCTGGATTTGTTGGCGGATGAAAATGGATAAAGAGAAGTAGATAAATAGTGACGAAATAAAGGATTCATGGAAAACTATTTATTGGTTTCCAGTTCGATTTTATTCTTTTTTATCTATTTTGAATAATCATGTAGACTGCAACATATGAGTATCTTACCAATTACAAATAGAGTGATAGTGTGATGATCTTGGAGATAGTCTGAACGGACTCACATAATTTTAAAGTTGATGTAGTATCATGACTAGATGAGATAATCTAACTATCCAAAAGCAACACGATTTTATTTCTTCTGAAAGTGGAGATAGATTTGAGTCTGACACTAAGTGCAAGTTTTTACACTGACCAAACTTAGCCTACCTAGCAGTCGCGACTAGAGAATATATCGAGATGTTCTACTCCATAGTTGGAATATCCTTGAAAGGAATAACATCATTTGGGAGTCGTGTCCCATTTGACTTGATATCTGATCTCTTCCCTGTGAAAGATCTCTACCATAGCTTCGAAGCATATCAGAATTCTATACCTTAACCTGGAGAATCAATCATTCTGCTCTGCAAATTGGAGTAAAGTCAAGATATATACACCGTCGCTGGTTGCAAAGATCTACACTAAGTCATCCAAGATCAGATTCTGTCAAGGAATGATCTACTGTCTTTAAGAGTCCTAATATTCATCCCTCGACTGCATATTAGGAGTGCGTAGAAACATAACAATATTCTTCGTGACATGAATGTTCTCAAGTGATCATGAATGTGCTAGTGGGCGGACTGTTTAGCCTCGCTCAAAATCACAAAAGACTTCCCTCTCAAGATCTTAAGATAGTACATCAAATAACATTCTATCGTCTTCGGAAAATCTGGACACTGGGCACATCCAGAACCGGCTATTAAGTGACATCGGCTATATGATGATGGATGTCTTTCATGAGCCATTCATCGGGACTTGAATGTATTTACTCGTTGTTGAGGCTAGTCTAGATCTGAGATGAAAATACCTAGGCATGGGTGATTTACTATGACATAGCGCATGATAAATATATGCTATACAGGTCTTCGCATCACAAGCTAGCTATTGCCATAAGAGTCCAAGTAAGCCCATCCACTGAGAAAAGAAAGAACCACGGAGAAATTCTTCTCAAGCTCATCTTTCATATCGGGAAACTCTTTTATACTTCTTCTTCGGAATGTCTTACTTCATAGATGCAAACAAATATATAGGCTCTGGGAGATCCAGCCATGTACCTAGCGTAGGTAACCCTTGAATCATAGATTTAAGATATACCAAGCTGTATGCTTGGTCGACGGTACGCAACCCTATGATATTCATCACTTGATGGTTTTTGGATTTCCAAATGGTAGTGTACTATCTCAAACCGCCAGATACAATATAATCGCTCAACTGGAGACGATAATAATCAGCATTATTCTAATGTTCTTCAATTGCGCAAAAATACTCAACAATACAAGCTGACACTAGACCCTGCGATAAATTCAAGTTATACTTATGCCCCAATGCTCAACACACATAATTTCAGAGTAAAAGCTGATGGTCATCAAGAATAGATATGATATGTGCACATACACGTGACAAGCTCCTATTACCTGACTAGCTTTGTATGGGTCGTTCTCATATTATGAAACTACACATCTGTATTTTCCATCAACATTATTCAAAGTGGTGATATTCATGCTCACCTAACTATGTATCTTCTACCTACTCGGTATCGTATCTATAGATGTATAGAATGTCCATCTGCTCTTAATTACGGTCTTATCGCAAACAGTAAGCATGGAAACGACGTACATACAGGGAATCGATGGTCCGTTTTTCACCTCCAGGTGTTTACATCTGCAACCATATTTAATTTTGTTAAGTTCACTTGTCTCAATATTCCCAATCTCATGATGTGTTCCTGATTTCACAAATAAAATCTACACGGCCATGCGACCAGCTTTCCAAGTGAGAGATCAGTGTCTGATGTTTCTATCAGAAATTACCAAAGGGGCAAGAAACAATTTCATTCCGCTTTACTTACATGACCGGGACCGAAACACAAGTTTAAGTATGTAATAGAATCGAAATTACTAATTTCTAGCTCTTTCAGTTGTGCACTCATGGTATCTAGCGTTGTGTCTCACAGTGAAGCAATTATTCAAGCACCAATTATGAAGTCATTGTTTCGATCGCAGCATCTCATTGTTTTCTACTCTCTACCCCATATTCTCGACCATCCGACTCTGCCAAAACTACCAAATGGGGAGAGTTTTGAGACCCAATAGTGCGATTCGCATGGAATCCTTCCTCCAACCATCTTTCAGAACTCTCCGTCGGCCCCGAAACTCTTACTGCTTGTAACATGAGGTACGGTCCAAAGCTGTGAAGGCACTCGCGCACTTGTATTTTCCTCCAGCTGCGCATGCAGTTCCGGGTCCAGTTGAACTATCTGTACCATCTGCGCGATGAGCATTAGCGCAATAGGTGGGGCAATCGAGGTTGCCAATTTCAGCATCCTATTCAAGATGTCAGACACAAGGTGATTACACCTTCATGGATGTAGGCTTAAAGCCCTCTAGGACTTACCGAATAGACACAGCAGTGGTCACCATTTGAGAATTCGCACTGACAATATGTGCATGCTTGCACTGATAAAGCGCTCGCAAGGAAGAACATAACGATAGAGGAGATGCGGACCAGTTTGACGGTAGTGAAAAGGACTTTGGATAAGATTGGTGAAGTGTAGATTATGTTTTGGATGTTGTTGGGGAGGTAGCTGATGTAGAATGTATCTTCTAGCTGGGAGAAGTCGTCTTCTCATACAACTTTCTCACAGTTGACGATCTATTCGGGTTTCTCGCATGATCTCAATCTCACCATGGAGCCGGTATGAAGCCGGGATAGATACCTGCATCGACAACTTCTCACCTAAACCCGCCCACAATCCATCCTGGTATTCATACTCTTGTATATCACCCGTTGTTATACCGCACAAAGCCGCCGACTAGAATTCCTGCCTCTCCACCTTAGAACTCAATGACACCTTGACGGTATCCCTACCTGTCGACGTTTAATTCCCTTTAGCCATCCATTTTCATCATGCACAGATATGGACCGATGATCACCCAAGCCGAACCTCATGAGAGTTCAGATTCGGAGTTTGAGTTGAAGCAAAGGCAGGCAAGTTCTGAACAGTGGATTTAAACATTCAGCCTCACTGCCTTTTCTCCCCTTTGCGAGCACGACTTGACAACCTTAAATTGACGCCAAGGTATCGAAGCCAGGGTCTTAACCCTTCAACACATATAATTCTCGAGATTAGCCCACTTATCAACGGCGTGGACTTGTAGACGTGCCACGGAGGATGTGGTAGCATGAAAGTACCGGTAATCGGGCATAGATTGTCATATAATCATTCATCCGCATCCGAGAATGTGGGGGAATGTGACACCCTTTTGCAAATGTCGTCTTATCATAAGCTAGCCTAATCATAAGCTTTGATCTGCAAATATCCGAAGCTTCTGCGAAAGAGACCTGCCAATGAAATTTCTCAGTCACTACACGGCTGCCGGATTGAGTGCATGACTTTCTTTGCAAGACGACATTTTTAATGAGATTAAATTAAAGTTTGAATGCCAATGCTTTACCGTTTAATTGGCAATGCTCATATGGAGAGTCTCAATTATTCCGAACATCGGTGGTCTTATTATTTGATGCTTTATCAAGCTTCCATCGAAAACCTTATTTACTCATCTAGTCCTCCGTCAATTATCAGACTTGAGCACCTGACGCTTCCTTACTTGACGAGTATTATAAATTAATGAAATTACCAGTAATGGAATCATTAATCAGAAGGATGTTTACTAAAAAAATTATACAATCCACCTTCAACATGCGCTACTGATAGATAGATTGAATCGATCAAGAATTTACCACTACACCTTGCGCGGTTGTTTGACAATATAGTATAAACTTGCCTACATTGCTTCTATCGAGTATTATGATTTAAAAACACTTCAACCGCACGAATCATGATCATGCATATATTTATGGTATGGCATCATACGCTTGACCCTCCAATAGATTGATCCTGCTTACTGAGATCATCTCAGTTCTAGCAATCTCGTACAACTAAACTCGCGTGTTCAGATGACCAGGAGCTCGTGCTAAAAAAAACATTTGGATTTCATTGAACATATAGCAAAACTCGAAAATTCTATGTTTTTCTGTATATTTCTTTCGTTGATATGATGATTGTGTCATACGAGACCGACGTTGTATGTTAATCATCCTCAGATTTGCGCGAAGGAGCTCTTAAGCGAACCAATGTACATAGTACCCTAGTCTCGATCTTGAGTCCCCCATTTTAATTGATGAAATGCATTTATCATATGTATATGAAGAAGCGCCTCTGCCCCTAAGTTTTGCCAATGTTGTGGCCGGCACCCAAAGCCTTTTGAATTTTTTGAGCTCGGTAATGAGACGAAAGCGCCTTTGTTACGGGAAGTAGGACAGTATCTATCCAGATATGTAGATAAAGCCTCGCCTTTATGCGGATCATTTGTAATGCCAGGCTTTCATTACCCATGTTTTCAGGTTGCAATTTTTTGGTGAAGGTGAAAGTCATTGTGTTCGCACAGAACAATCTCTGCCTAGGAATTTGAAGGCGATAAAGAATAATCTGAATGCGGTTCGTTCAAAACACAAGACTTTCATTCCCTTTCTGATGTTGTGAAATAAAGAAGAGTAGGGACCTTTGTTGTCTAGAATGTGTCTTATGTCTTCATTTTTCTTATATACTCAAGTATCAATTATGAAGCATATGCTACTCTTCTCTCAAAAGTTCGATGCACTTGCCGTATATCAAGTCATCTAGAGCAACAAATTTCCATCTATATCCACAATGGAGGAGGAAAAGGTCCAAAAACTACCCCCTAGGGTTATTCAGCACATGACAGAATTTGATACAACCTGTAAGTAAATGTTACACACATGCAGTAGCTTAGTATTAATCGATTATTTTATAGATCACCCCGGAGTAGACCCCAAAGATCTAGTTCACCTCGTTCATGACACTGTAGTTAGTGAACGCAAAGAATTGAAATCCACACGACGTCGGCCAGGTGAGATATTCTGCTACAATTGTGGATTGGATGATGATCTCGCCCGAGATGGCTACACTTCACGCGTAAAGATCGCACATATTAGACAGAATAATGCCCTATGGGAACTTGGCGGACCAGAAGGGCCATGGATACTGAAAGATGAAATAAACGTTGCCAAAGATAGCAAGTCGGTGGACTATACAGTACAGAAATTTCTTCGGGATGCGAATGTAGGGATACCTCTTGTGGAAATGTACAGATTTGGGGGCGGCGATGAAAAGTTCAATTTTACAATGATGTCTAGAGCCAAAGGAAAAACGCTAGGGGAGTGGAGGGACAATCTTTGCGATGAACAGTATAAAGATGTTGAAATGGATCTCTTGAAACACATTAAGAGCATTCGCCAGTTTACTAGTCCTCACATGCGAAGAGTGGATGGCGGAGAACTTCATGATAACTATATTGGAAGTTGCTGTGGATTTCCATGTATGGAGACAGGGCGAAATGAAGAAGAATGGCTGGAGAATTTAACTCCTGCAATTCGTAAAGCTCTTTTAAATAAGCTTTGGATGCGAAATAAAGCTGGGCTTCAAGATCCAACGGAACGAGACGCGTGGGTAAAAAAGGCGGACGAACACATAGCTAGGATCAAAGCAGGCTTCCCAAAGGGTGGACCATATGTTCTAACCCATGGCGACTTGCATGATGGGAATGTCTATTGCTCGAATGACAATGCGGATCAAAAGTGGAAGGTCACCGCGATTATTGATTGGGAAACGGCTGGCTATTACCCTTGGTGGGTAGAGCTTGCTCGCAACCCTCAACTACTAAGGGGTAGCGGTACGATAGAAGAGCGGCTTTCGGGGTTTAGCCCCCCAACCTTCAATACGGAACATTGGAAGCCGATGATGAAGGCCTTAGATGGTATCTGTCAGCTATGGTCAGACGGAGCATATATCGATAGAAGCAGTCATGGAAAGGGTCGTGCAAATAAGTGGTTTAGCAAGGATTTTTGTGATTGCCATAAAGTGAAAAGAACATTTCTGGAGATAGATATGGGGTGGCCCCAAGAGCATCATGATGTGTTTGACCCTGAGCTTTCGGATCCAGAAGATAATCCAGAAGAAGAAGATCTCAGTACCAAGTACGCGTTTGAGAAAGATGAAAGAGAGTTCTTGCGATGGTTCAATACAATTAGCAATTAGTTCATTGAGCTCGCTGATGCCTTTTTCAATACTTGAGAGCCTCGCATTTTTCTTTACCATACAGTGTTTTGTGCACCTTCTATCACCATAATATTTTAAGATGTTTGCATTTCACATTTATGATACCGATGTACAAGGATCAAAGTGAACAAGTTTGTATACAAAAGCACGAACACCTACTAGAAAAGCCTAGCTTGAAGAAGAGTAATGAAAACTTGCGAGCTGAAAACTACGACTGCCTGTATAGACTAATGGCTACTATACGTCTAGGGTTCCGTATGCCCTACACATGTTGATCTGGCATATGGGGCCAGTCAAACAGCATCCTATTCAGTACATGGACCACCCACGTCAAAGCCCCTAACGTCTGTGTCTAGTTCATCAGGTGTTAGTAAACAAATATTCTCTGGTGTCGGGAAATTGGATGGTACTATTTATTAAGTCAGCTCTCGTACCTAGTAAATTGCAACTCATGAGAATACTTACATGAAGTCACTCCTAGAATATCCTTAAACATTGTCCAATCGGCAAATTTGATCTCCTCCCACTTCCTAGAACTGGCCGAGATATCGCCCGGACCCAGTTTCGTAAACGACAACCTCTTGTCTCCTCCAGGTATATGTAGGAACACCGCTACCTTCTCTGTGCCGTTCTGCGCGTACGGACTATCAGGGGATTCGGCGCAAAGGACTGCAGTGTACTGATCATTTTGAATAGCGACTGCCGCACTTCTCAGCTGTTCGCTCTTGACTTGACTCAAATCCGTTTTTGCGATGAGAAAAGTATTCCAGTCGATATACTTCGGCGGTTCCTCTGTTGTCCATCAAAAACATGTGGGTAACAGCCATCCATTGCAAATGTGGCAAAATTCTTGAGTGGAAGGATGTTTCTTACCACAATTCCAACATCTCAATGGAGTATAGCAAAGCTCAGATGGACTATGTCTCTTGCTACAGCTGCCGCATATTCGTGGAATCTGGGAATTTTGGGAGGCCATCTTGAGTGTCTGAATGTTGGCAGATTGATTGTTGGGAGATTGATTGCTACACTTCGATGTAATAGGCACAGAGCTGATTGTTGTACTATTGAAAGTATTTCAGGCACCAAGGTAATATCAAACTTTATGTAAACAATATATCAAATCGACAAATAACAAGAAAGATAAAGGGTAAGCTCAAACGTTCATTTACCAACCAGATGGTTCTACTATAAACTTCTCGAGACAAAGAGTCTTGCTCTCGATACTTCAGAGATAAGAGTCATTTTCCACATGCGTCGGGACAAAATTAATGAAGAAATGCAATTGATGAAGATCGAACTGGCTGAACACAAGACGCTGAAGTGATTGAACTCAAAGAAGAACGAGACTTGTGGGAATCTCTTTTCTGACAAAGGAAGAGACTCTTATCTCCAAGAAAAGATGTGTTTCAACAGATCAAGGGAGTCTTCTAATGTCCAATCAGTGGAACTGTGAATTTATGAGAACAGTAAGTTTTTGGATTTTGCTGTGTGAATTTTTTTGATCCCAAGAGAGCATATGCAAAATTGGTACTGGTAAACATTGTGTACTTAGTTCTGGCTAGTTTCGTTGGGATACTGTGACCAACGTCTTTTTCAAATCTGATTAATGAAGGAGTATGCGAGAGATACAGCTGTGCATGAGTGTATGAGTGTATGTATTGGTATCCCTCAGGTTAGGGTTATTCTGGTGTCCACTAAGACTTCTTGAAACATTGACAAAGTATATCAAATATAGCTGCTGAGAAAACTATTTACTCAGATTAGTGATATCACGGATTCTACGGAACCCTTGGAAACGAAAAGAAAATGCTTGATCCTCCGCCTTGCATTGTCCTATTCTTATCTTTAGCAGGTCAATAGAATAAAATGGAAATCGAATGTCCCACATTTCTGCTCACCATCCCACAACCTAGCTCCTTTCAATCGTGATTTTGTCATTCTTCCTGCTCGCTGGTAAGTTTAAAGACTTTGTCCATCCTTTCAATGGCCAGATTCAAAACTTCCTGTTCCATCGCAAATGAGATTCTTGCCCAACCGGGCTCTAGAACGTCATATCTCTTTCCTGGCCCTATCAAAACTCCATTCCTCTCAAGAAAATCTACCATTTCTGATTCCTTTGCCCAAGTTCCCTCTGGTACTATCCTTGCCAAGATAAAGAGTCCTGCGTTACAGGGAAAATATTTGATGTTATGCTTGTTGAAAAGAGCAACCATTTGAGTGTAACTGTTTGATAAGCGTTAGTAATTGAGCGAGAGAAGGCCAGGAAGCCTCAGGGACCGGAGAAGAGAAGTGGCGTATACAGTGGACATTGTTGATACGTGCATATGGGAGGCGAGAGCTAGAGCATCGCGGAGAGAAGAATTGTGCTGCGTTATCGTTACGCCCTGTATAATAACACCTGCATTAACATCCTGGTGCCAATCTATAAAATTGAACAGGTTGGTTTGGTGTTGGGCCGGTGGGTGGAAGAACATACGCATTTAATGCCACTAGCTCCCAATACCTTACTTAAACTCCATACGACATTAACTCGACTCGGGTTTATTCCCAGACTGACTAGATCCAATGACAATAAACTAGTAAAGCTGACTCGCTCTTGTGTCGTCATATCCTTAGTATAAAAAGCACAGAGTACAGAAACTTCATCAGAGATAAAATGAATATCATGTTTTTTTCAGAACTGAAGGAGGGAGGCGAGTATAGAAGGCGTATAACAGCGGCCAAGCGGATTGTGTGGATTAGCAATAAGTAAGGCTTTGACCGGGACGGAAGAGGTAGAACAAGCTGTATCTAGAGCATCAAGGAGCGCCGTGGTGAAAGAACCCGGGAATGTCGAGACGGTTGCAGGGATGAGAGTTGCTTGAGAACGAATTCACAAGAATATATCATTGCCATCTAGTGATTTCCTTTATCAGTATGAAGGCTATCTGTCGTTCAATTTCTGCTTCAATTATTCCAATAAGGATCGGAGATCAGGACACCTTCTGTAGCATCGCGAATGTAGTACAGAAGAACATCTAAGCAAGCTGCAGCTCCTGGGGCTATTACAAGATGCTTGGGCGAGACTGCAACATCTGGATCAAAGTATTGATTCAAAAAAATTTACATAGCTTCTAGTAGTTCGGGATCCCCCCAGAAACCAGTCGGCCATGAGAGATTCTGAATGGACAGACAGGGACATCAGCATCTCTTCTAGTTTATTCACATGTAAGGCAATTTTGAGTTTACTCACATGAGTTTGATATTTACTCTTGATGCATTCTTGCAATAGTCATACATTTCTTGTCTGACAAGCCAATTCTCGGCCATTGATAGATCGACTTCGACATCGGAAAGTTCCGTACTTTTTGTAGCTTCCAGTATTGTTCGAGGAATTCGAGACATAATTGAATCGAGGTGATTCCGTCCTCTGTCGGATAACTCGAGCATGATTGGTTGAACTATTTGGTTAAGTCCAAAGGGGATAATTTTCTCAAGGCCAGTTTTCATAAGAGCGGGCAAGTTTGTGGTGAGCTGGGGTGAAGGAGGAAAAGTTAAGTGAGTATGAGCAGGTTGTTGGGGGAGGGCTAGATATTTATGCTCAACGTAGAGTTACTAGACGCGTTACTACCATTATGGAGGTCATATTATTGATTCTTGCCATAAGTGTTATATAATTTTTTTTAATCTAATTAGATCAGTTCCAAGCGTGGCGCTGAGAATCAGTGCTTAGAGGAAGTACCGTATTGCCTATAGTTTCACTTTGTGTATCGTCGATCTTGGCGGAAATCTCAATACACAATATAGAAAAACACATGTGGTCACGATTTAGCCATCAAAATAGGACCAGTCCTGTAGAGTCGTGCTAATAAATAAATGCCCTAGATAAAAATATCATTGCTCCACAGAAAGCTTGTAGCCCCTTCCGCCCGCTATTGGCATCCAATATTGCTCCCGCAATTGGTTCTCCAACAAGCATAACAAGCCTAGAGATGCTGAGTGCCATCCCAAGTTGAATGCCGATAGTTTTTATATTTGGCTAGATGGTTATGACAATGATGCCCGGCAATGAAGCAAATGCGCCGGAAAAGAATCTATATAGAAGATAAAAAATCACTATTCTAGCCTCCGATGTTAACAATTCCCCTAGAATTAAATGTGAGAATCGTGCATGAAAACCATCAGCATAATAGGTTTGCCTCCCAAGTATCAAAGAAAAGGAAAACCGCGCCGATAACCTGCGTGCAAGCAACCAACCCACCGTTGGGTGGGGGTGGACCTTCATGGTGATGGCCATCACCTTTCGATTTCTCGGGGTTGAGATGGCATTCCTATTGACGGGTAGACTTTGTGTTTGGTCTGCCACTGCCTGTTGCTCGGAGCCATCATCGGAAGCCATTTTGCCCATTCACTTGACTGGGGGTGGCCGCTGCAGAAGTGAGGAAGTTGGAGGAAGAAATTTTTGGGTACAAGATGGAAAAGATAGAGAGGCACACAGACAGCAAAATAGGATGAACTCGAAACAAAGAAAGTGCGCAACGTAGGATCCGTATCAATATTGAGATGCCTATTACTACCTGCATAAAGCTTTGAGATTTGCATGTCAAGAGTGGTGATAAATCCCTTGCGAAGTCGTACGTTTGTTGGTTGAGGATAATCCACACAAACTCGCATATACGTATGTTATCGAGCGCGACCAACATTACCTGCAACGCCCTTCGTTAAGGGGATACCAGCTTCAGTAGCACTGTTTCTGGATTGATTCCGGTTTGCTGGACCGCAAAATGTGTGTTGCTTACTATGCCGCATACAAGCTCGATATTCCTGAACTGTGATGCATAATTTCTAGCGGGCCAGATGGTGCTACCCCTGCAGATCGAGCATCGTATCTTGGCCGCAGAGATCTACCATAGGCATCATGAGCCCTATAGATTGTTGACTTCTAAAACTAATGAAATTGACAAAGATTATTAGTTGGGGAGTATGAAATAGCTATTGGTTGAGATGACAGCTCTGGCATCTATGATCAAATCACCATTTTCATAGATGAATTAGACACCAACTTGACCTTCATTGATCCCGAGAATGGATAGCACGGCCTGCTTACACAGAATTGCTAGTTCTTTTCACCAGCTAACAGAAATATGATGTTTTAATCAATTAAAGTTCTTTCTGGATGGTCTAACATGTCTGAAGGCGGTTTGAAAGGTGATGCTCTTATGATATTGCACGAAGGTGTCGTAGTCGCTACCAAGTCGAATCATCACTTGGTCTAGTATGCCTGTCATGGATGATCTAGTAAGTCATCAGCCATTATTATTTGAAAGAAACTCCAACATGTTGGTGCTGATTGTGAGACGATAAGGCACAGGCCGGAGAACTTTCTTCGTCTCGCCCAGCTGGCATCTCCCGAGTTTATGATTCTGTATGAGGTACAGCAGAGACAAGGATAGAGGACGAGTAAGGCGGCACAAGTTGCAGCTGCAAAAACAATAGAATTTCTCCTTGTCCCTTTGGACTTGCATCAGATCAATGGCTGTCGTATTTTGCCTTGTACTATCCGTAATTCAGTTTCACACATCAAAAGTCCATCATGGAAAAAAGATCTATAATCCAACAGTATTGCCTTGAGCTTGCTTCCTTCGAAGAGATCTATCGCGATATTCATCGAAATCCAGAACTTTCCTTGCAGGAGATCCGTACAGCCGCCCTCATCGTCGAGTTTCTAGAGTCTCTTGGTAGCTACCGAGTCATCAAGGGAATCGGAGTACATGGCGTTGTTGAAATCCTAGAAAATGGATCGGGAGCTACAGTTCCTCTTCGCGCCGATATGGACGCTTTACGTCATTTAGAGAACACAAATTTAGAGTAGACAAGTATCAAGACTGTTGAGGGTAGTGACGGTAAAGAAACACCGGTGATGCACGCATGCGGTCACGATGTAAGTGTAATCAATTTCTCCGAAGCGTATCTACCTGTGGCTATTTTTCATCTGCATTCTCTTCATCTCCCAACGAAAGTAACTTCACAACCACATATCCAAGGGGTTCCATGAAAAACGTTGGCTGGCTCGTATTGTAGATACATACTGCTGTATTAATTGCTGATGCAAAGATGCTTCTCGACGCAAAATCCGAATGGTCTGGCACTTTAGTTGTCTTATTTCAAGCTGCGGAAGAGCTGGCAGTGGGTGCACGAGCTATGATCGAAGATGGTCTTTACGATCCATCAAAGTTCGCTGTCCCCAAGCCAGATATAATACTTGGACAACACACGCATGCTTTCAAAGCTGGCATGCTTGCTCTTGGAGGAGGTGCGATCTTAACAGCAGTGGGTTTATTCGATGTGAGGATTTTTGGGAAGAGTGGGCATATTTGTCGTGCAGACTTGTGTGTTGATCCCGTTGTGACTGCCAGTCACATCGTGGTGCGATTGCAAAGTATTGTCACAAAAGAAGTACGGCCAGAAGAATTTGCGGTGATTGGATGTGCCAGTATTCATGGTGGTAGTACCGCAAACATCATCCCGGATTTTGTGGATCTGAAAATTTCAATCCGCTCATACAATCCAAGTATTCACGAACGCTTAGTTGCAGCGGTCAAACGTGTTGTTTACTCAGAGTGCGAGATTTCTGGTTCTCTAGCCATAGGAGAACCGATTTTTACAACGACTATGCACGCGCCTCCCACCGTCAATGATTTTCCAGCGGTAGAAATCCTAAAGAAATCTTTCGGAGATTATTTTGGAAAGAACTTGATTCCGGCTGATCCTTTTGGTGCCAGTGAGGATTTCTCGTACTTGGCGTTGGAGTGTGATGCTCCTTATGTTTTCTATAACTTTGGTTGTGTCGATGAGGATATTTGGGAAGACGCAAAGACTAAGGGAACCATGGAGGACATTCCCCATAACCATTCTGCATTCTTTGCGCCAAAGATCCAGCCAACAATAACTACTGCTGTAGATGCCTTCGCACTTGCGGCTTTGACATTCTTTGATAGAGGCGGAGTCAAATGATTAAGTATTTAGGACATGTCTGTGAATGATGGGTGTGGAGAATGTGAGAAGAAATTTTGCACCCCTAAATTCCCCGATGAAAATGGAAATATAGATTTATATATTGCACTTTCCAAAGCACTTTACAGCGCAATTGTAGTTTATTTTTATTAGACACTATTCATTTGACCTCTCCGCCACCGAGGATATCTTTTATATTGATTTCCCCACTACCTCGGGGTAACGGTTGTGCCTGGTTAGGTCCTTCCTTCCAGCCAATCATGTATATCATCCTAAACGTTGCGGGTATTGTACCATCCTCGTTCCCATGCAACTCTCGATATATTCCCTCATTTGCAAGAAGCACATCCTTCTTGATTGCGCCTGCCTCCCTTCCTAATATGGCATTGCTTTCGCCCATCTGTTGTAAATCTTGCATTAGGGCAAACGTGTCGGGAAAATCAATGATAATGTCGTCGATATCTACTGTTAACATCTTGAACCCCGCTTTCTGCAACAAACCTCCAATGTCTCTTACATCCGCTAGCGGAGAAACGTGCGGAGAAACTCCACCTCTTCGCTCCATATCTGCGAGCTGCAATGACGTTCGTAATTCAAATAATGTATCGCCACCAAACATTGCTGCCATAAATGGTGCATCAGGCTTCAATACGTGATTGATTTGCGCAAGGAGTGATGGAAGGTCGTTGATCCAGTGCATGCTCAAAGAGCTCAGCACTGCATCAAATGTTCCAGATTCATAAGGTAATCTTTCCTCATCGTCGAGCACTTCGCGTGTGAGGTTTATTTCCTTATTGAATGGCAAATCTTCATCGCGGTATAACATATTCCGAGATGAATCTGCAGCTGTAAGACGGGCGATACGGGAGGAAAGTGGAGGAGATGTAGTCTTCGAAAGATCAATATCTGGATCTGGTAAAGTGAGAGCCCTTGCTATGTTACATGAATTTGCGCCAAGATCTAGGACATGATCAAAGTGCCTGTTGATATCCTATAACATTATAAGCTACTTGATCTCAATTGAACGGGATAATCTCACCAATAACCTTTCTGAAAGTCGCATGGCTACTTCATCCTTCAGATAATCCACTTGTCTACTTTTCTCCTTGTCTAAAGCTGCACGTTCTTTTTGTAAATATTTAGTATGTCTATCGAAGACCTGCAAAGTAGGTGATCCCGGGGATTGAACTGCATAATTTCGAGATATACATAGTCTTCTTGCTATCGAAGGCCTTGGAAGAAACGGTCGTAAAGCTAAAGACTTCATGATTGAGAGGGAAATGTATTATAGACAATTATATAAATGAAAAGAACATCATTGACTACACTCAAGTCAACAGGATCAGATATTAAAGTTTATAAATGGTGACGTTAAGGATAATCATTTGCAAAGCAAGGCTACTAGGTAAGCTGGAGACTAGAGAGCCTTACATTACCTAAGGAATTAATCCCTGTTATTCCCTAGCAACGATGTCCCTTATGTCGCGCGTACGGAGTGGAAACTTAGTACAATTGAACCCTCTCTAGATTCCAATCTCACCAGGGAATTCATCAACAACAAATATCTTTGCGTTTGATATCTCCAAGAAAAGGGGCGAATACGCCATAACATTTTGCGGATGGCGGATCACGAGCAAGGCTAAGTTTCCGCAGCCAACAGCACACTTCGAAAAGCCCCAGTGATTTGCCAACACGATCCGGAGTTCGTGGAAAGAGTTACGATCAGAGACCGACAAAGAACTTTAACAATTGGTTATAGGCGCACGCTGTATCATCGTCTCGATTTGTTCTTCGACCGCAAGAGCATACAACTCGATTCAGAAGGCCGATAGAAAGACGGCAACAATGGCGTCCTCTGCAGGAAGCTTTCTGGGCCGTGGGAGCTCCAGCAATAACTCGAATATGCGGGGTCTCGTGCAGTTCATTGCAGATCTTAGAAATGCTAGAGCTAGAGAGCTTGAAGAAAAGAGAATCAATAAAGAATTGGCGAACATAAGGTTGGTTATTACTCCTCTGCAGGTCCAAGGTTTCTTATGCAAGGCTGACTATTGTTCCTCGTTCAAGACAGAAATTCAAAGGTTCGAACTCTTGCCTAGAATAAAGGGGTGTAGCTAATTGTGACGAACAGATGGAAATCTCAGTGGCTATCATAAGAAAAAATATGTCTGCAAGGTAATTCGTTCGACCGCCTTTCACGGATATGCCTCTAATAAATATCATTCCAGCTCTTATACATATATATCCTAGGGTGGAATGTCGATTTTGGCCATCTCGAAGCGGTCAACCTTATATCTGCCAATAAATACTCGGAAAAGCAAATTGGATACCTGGCAATGACCTTGTTTCTCCACGAAGGGCACGAATTGATACATTTAGTCGTGAACAGTATCAGGAAAGATTTGACGGATCACAATGAATTATATAATTGCTTGGCATTGCATGCCATTGCTAATGTAGGTGGCAGGGAAATGGGAGAGGCGCTGAGTGGGGAGGTCCATAGGCTCCTGATATCACCGTGAGAAAGCTCGCTCCATCTTAGTTCTGTATTATCTCTAATATCACAGCAGGACATCCAAATCATTCGTCAAAAAGAAGGCAGCTTTGACTCTCCTCAGACTCTACCGAAAGCATCCTGACATAGTGCAACCGCAATGGGCGGAACGAATAATATCTCTAATGGACGATGTTGATATTGGTGTTGCTCTCTCGGTCACCTCCCTCGTGATGGCTCTTGCTCAAGACAATCTCGATCAATACAAAGGATGTTATGTTAAAGCTGCAGCAAGAGTCAAAAGAATAGTCGTAGATCAAGAGTTCACCCAGGACTATCTTTATTATAAGGTACCCTGCCCGTGGCTTCAAATGAAACTTCTAAGATTGTTACAATATTATCCCGCATCAGGTATGTTCCACTATCCGCAGCCACATATATACTAACAATGTTTAGAGGATACACATGTCAGAAACTTGATTCGGCAGTCCATACAAAAAATTCTGGATGATGCGTCTGATATGCCTAAGAACGTTCAGCAGAACAATGCGCAGAATGCTGTTTTGTTCGAGGCCATAAACCTTGTCATTCATCTTGATACCGAAGTAGATTTGATGAAACAAATCTCAACAAGACTCGGAAAATTTATCCAGTCACGGGAGACCAACGTTCGCTATCTCGGCTTAGAAGCCATGACACATTTGGCTGCAAGAGCTGATATATTAGATCCTATCAAGCAACACCAAGCAATTATTATTGGGTCCTTAAAAGATAGGGATATCAGTGTACGGAGGAAAGGTTTGGATTTGCTGTACAGCATGTGTGATCAAACTAACGCACAACCAATTGTTGGCGAGCTCTTGCAATATCTTCAGAATGCGGATTTTGCAATCCGAGAGGAAATGGTCTTGAAGATAGCCATTTTGACCGAGAAATACGCTACTGACATTCAGTGGTACGTTGACATTTCATTGCGACTCATCGCAATGGCGGGAGACCATGTCAGTGATGAGGTCTGGCACCGGGTCATTCAAATCGTTACCAATAACGAAGAGCTCCAAGTATATGCAGCACAGAACATTTTACAGTATGTAAAAGCGGACCACTGTCACGAGACACTTGTGAAAATCGGCGGATACATACTTGGCGAATTTGGCCACTTGATCGCAGAGGACAAAGGTTGTAGCCCAATCGAGCAATACCTTGCATTACAGGGAAAATTACAAGGCTGCTCATCCAGTACAAGAGCCATCATATTATCATCTTTTATCAAATTTGTCAATCTTTTCCCAGAGATTAAACCTCGACTTATGTATGTATTCCAAGCATACAGTCACACCTTGGACTCTGAGCTTCAGCAAAGAGCTTGCGAATACTTGGCATTGGCAAGCTTACCAACTGATGATCTTCTCCGAACGGTCTGCGACGAAATGCCACCCTTTCCGGAGCGTCAGTCAGCACTACTTTCACGGCTACATCAAAAGCATGCTGGAACTAGTGATAAGCGAACTTGGATTGTAGGAGGCAAGGACGCCAATGCTAATGAGAAAGATTTTGTGGTTGCCAAGAACCCAGGTCTCAAGCGTACTTTTAGCACTAATGGAGCAAAGCACACTGCCACCGGAGTCAACGGGGGGGACAATGGCACTAATGGACACAACAATGGCTCCAGCAACGACCTTGCTGGCTTGGATCTTATGGATCAAGGTCCGTCGGAACCAAAAACCCTTAAAGCGCCGAATTTGGCAAGCGCAGCCCATCTTTCACCGGATTGGGAGATTGGATTCAACAAGCTTCTTCTCAAAGCGGAGGGAGTTCTCTATGAAGATGGTCAAATTCAAATCGGAGTGCGATCTGAATATCGTGGCCAAATGGCATGCGTCATCCTATATTTCTCCAACAAAGCCCCATCTCCTGTTAGTTCCTTTACCACAACACTTGATCTCGAACCAAGCGAGAAGGAGAACCTGTCATGGGAGGTAAAAGGTCTGCCTGAAAGCACAATTCATCAAGGTGCACAAAGTCAACAAATGATAATGTTTGAGTCTAAAAAGGTGTTTGAAAAGAGCCCAACGATTAGAATCAGTTACCTGGCTGGAGCTCTCCAAGCTTTGACACTGAAGCTTCCAATTACCATACACAAATTTATGGATCCAGCAGAATTATCAGCGGATGATTTCTTCAAACGATGGAAGCAAATCGGAGGAGCGCCACGTGAAGCTCAACGCATCTTTGGTGTCAAGGGTGGTAAGGGTGGGAGTCGTGAATTCACTGATGGATTTGTTCGGAAGACCATAGATGGTTTTAGATGGGGTATCTTGGATGGCGTGGATCCCAATAGGAAGAATTTTGTTGGTGCCAGTGTGTTGCATACTGGTGAGGGAGGCAAATTTGGTTGTTTATTAAGACTGGAGCCGAATTATGGAACCCAAGTTCGTATTCCCCATTCCCTCAAGCTTCTAGTGCTAATTAAGACATTTAGATGGTTCGCCTCACCATCAGAGCAACA